TCATCTGCTGATGGGTACTTAGGTTGATTCCATATCTTGACTATTGTGAGTAGTGCTGCAATAAACATGGGACTGCATATATCTCTTTGACATACTGATTTCCTTTCTTTTGGATATATATCCAGAAGTGGAATTCCTGGATCATATGATAGTTCTATTTTTAGTTTTTTGAGAAACTTCCATACTGTTTTCCATAATAGCTATACTACAATACATCCCATCAGCAGTATACAAGCATTCCCTTCTTCTCATCCTTGCCAGCATTTATCATTTTTTGTCTTTTCAATAGTAGCCCTCCTAACTGGGGTGAAATAATTCTCATTATGGTTTTGATTTTCATTTTTCTGATGATTAGTGATGTTGAGCATTTTTTCATATACCTGCTGCCATTTGTATGTCTTCTTTTGAGAAATGTCTATTTAGTCCTTTTGCCCATTTTAAAATTGAATTATATATTTATTTTTGCTATGAATTGTCTGAGTGTCTCATATATATATGTATGTTCCTCCTTCTTATCTGTATGCCTTTATTTCTTTTTCTTGTCTTATTGCATTGGCTAGGACTTCCAATATTGTGTTAAATAAGAATTGTGAGAGTAGACATCTTGCCATCCTTAAGGCAAGAAATATCAACATTAAGTATGGTTTTAGCTGTAGGTTTTTTGTAGATGCTCTTTATCAAGTTGGAGAAGTTCCCCTCTGTTCCTATTTTTCTGAGAGTTTTTATCATTAATGGGTATTGAATTTTTTCAAATAATTTTTCTGCCTCTATTGATATGATCATGTGATTTTTATTCAGCTGTTAATATGATGAATTACATTGATTGATTTTCAATATTAAACTCATGGATTGTTTAGAAGTGTGTTGCTTCATTTCCAAGTGTTTGGAGAGTTTCCATTTTTCTTTCTGTTATTTATTTTTAATTTGTTTTTGTTGTGGTCAGAGAACACATTGTATATGATTTCAGTTATTTTAAATTTGTTGTGTTTTGTTTTATGGCCCACAATGTGATTTCCTTGATGTATGTTCCACGAATACTTGATTAAAATGTGTATTCTGCTGTTGTTGGGTGAAATGTTCTATAAATATTAATTAGATTGTCTTGATAATGGTATTTTCCTACATCTTTGCTGATTTTCTGTTTAGTTATTCTATCCATTGTTAAGAGAAGGTTGTGTAGAATCCAACTAAAATTGTAGATTTGCCTATTTCTCCTTTCAGTTCTATCAGTTTTTGTTTCACATATTTTACAGCATAATTGTTTCATGCATACACATTTAGGATTGCTATGTATTTTTGATAGCTTGCCTTTTTTATCATTATGTAATGTGTCTTTCTGTTTCTGGTTATTGTTTTTGCTCTACAATCTATCTTACATTAATATAGTCACTCCTGCTTTCTTTGATTAATATTTACATAATACATATTGTTCCATCCTTTCAACCTGCCTAGATTATATTTAAAGTGAGTTTCTTATAGACAGTGTATAATCATGTTTTAAAATCCAATATGCCAATCTCTTTTTAAATTGGTGTGTTTAGACCATTTACATTTAATGTCACTATTGATATGTGAGGGCTTCAGTCTGCCTTTTTATTTTTTGTTTTATATTTGTTCTCTAAGTTTTTTATTTCTTAGTTTACTTTTCTGTGCCTTCTTGTGGGTTAGTTGAACAACTTTTAAAATTCTATTTTGATTCCTCTACAGTGCTTTTGAGTGTATCTCTTTAAGCAGTTTTTTAAGTTGCTCATAGATATTCCATTATATATACACAACTTATAATAGTCTACTGGTGTTCTCATACTCCCAGTTCAAGGATACTATAGAATCTTACCTCTATTTTTGTCTCTTTATCATTCCACATTTGTAATATACTTGTCTTAAATATGTAGTTGATATACATTTAGAACAAAATCAGACAGTGTTGTAATTTTTGCTTCAATAATTAACATAATTTAGAAAACTGAAGAGAAGGAAAACCTATCACATTTACCCACATTTTTGCTTACTGTGTTCTTCCTTGCTCATGTTCCAATTTTTCTTCTTTAACTTTTTCTTCATATTTAGAGAAGTTCTTTTAGCCATTCTTTTAGGGTGAGTCTACTGCCAACAAATTCTTTTGCTTTTTCTTATTTGAGAATATCTTGATTTCCCCTTCATTCCTGGAAGGTATTTTTACTGGGTATAGGATTCATGGTTGACAATACTTTTCTTTCAGCACTTTAAAAATATTTAAAAATATTGTGCCATCTTCCTCTAACTTCTGATGGAAAATCAGTTGTCATCTTAACTGTTTTCCCCCTCTAGATAAAGTATAGTTTTTCTCTGGCTGCTTTCTAGATTTTTTCTTTAGTTTTCAAAAATAATGTGCCTTGGTGTGGACTTTTAAGGTTTTATCTTCTTCAAGGCTGGTTTGTGTTTTTCAGTCTACAAGTGTATGTCTCTTGCCAAATTTGGGAAGTTTTCAGCCATTATTTTTTGGAGTACTTTTTTCAGCTCCACCCTCTTTCTCCTCTCCTTCTGAAACTCCTAAGAAATGAATGCTAGATATTTTGTTATAGTCCCCATCAGGTTCCTCAAGGTTTCTTAATTTTTATTTTCAGTTTATTTTATCTCTGTTGTTCAGGTTGTGTAATTTCTATTGTTCTGTCTTCTGGGTCACTGCTTCTTTTATACGATTCCTTAAAAGATTATACCTAGTCTCATCACCTCCAGCACTTTCTCTCCTGTTGAGAGTCATGTTAATTTCTTTATACTTACTTATTTACTGTGACACTTACGATTCCTTAAAAGATTATACCTGGTCTCACTACCTCCAGCACTTTCTTTCCTGATGAGAGTCATGTTAATTTCTAAGTGTCTCTGAACAGAATGTGTGCCGACCAGTGAACTAACAGGCAGTGCCTGGCCATCTCTAGGTGGATTTTTCCATTCAAGCTCTTCCACTTCCTCCACTGAGAAGCCAGAGGGTGTCAGAGACTATGGGCTTCAGCAAGCACCAGGTGAGACCCCACAAGGAAGAGGACAAGAGCAGGAGTGCGTGAGCTGTGTGCCAATGCCAGCTCTCTTGACAATTGCTATATTCTTAGGGAAACTACTTGTTTTGATCAAGAGTCTAAATGACAAACAACGTGATTAACACATTTGCTGTATTGTGTTGGGAGTAAAATGGAAACTTAGGGCTGAAAGTTGGGGAAAGAATGAGCGTTCTATGATCCTAGAGCTGGCTGGGCCCAGATGTTTCTGCAGCAGCCGGCCATGACTGATCACAAGCTCTGGGCCAGGGGAGGTGATGTGTGTTTTTCATGGGGAACATAAACCCTGGTCAGTTGGTGTCAGGGAGCTGGGGAAAGGAGCAGTTGCTGACAGTTGGTAGATCCTTTCCGACAGCACTAGTGAAGGGTGGTAACGTGAAAGATCCAGAATAGGAACTAAACAGAGGATGACTTCGGTTTGCCTCTGAGCCATTTGACCATAGTGCTACCTTAGCTATCCTTCTCTGGTCCAGAGCTTTTGTTTACTTGGGCCAATTTGGAGTGTGGCTTTGTCTCCAGAAACTTCTCTCCCTGCTCCATTATGTTGGAATTTCCATCTGCAAATCGCTAGTGGAGGATTGACAAGGGGGTATAAGACCTGGCCCTCAACCTCTTGGAAGGCTGGGTGGATGACCCTGGTCATATCCCCTAACACCATGGGTCTCAGTTTCCTTCCTTTTCTTTTTTTATTGTATTATTTTGAGACCTGATTAAGTTAGTGTCTGTAAAAGGACTCTAATATTAAAATGCCACATCTGTACTTTGTAAGGAAAGTAGGAGTGCAGTGTATTCATCTGTTCAGTTGTGCATTCATTATACTTCCCAAGTCTCAGGCACCAAATAATGGAGCCATGATAGGAAGCCTACTCTGGAAAGAGTAGTGAATGACTTCCGTTTGCCTCTAGCCTTTTGACCATAGTGCTACCTTAGCTGCCCTTCTCTGGCTCAGAGCTTTTGTTTACTTGGGCCAATTTGGAGGGTGGCTTTGTCTCCAAGGACTTCTCTCCCTGCTCCATTATGTTGGAATTTCCAGAGACTATGGGCTTCAGCAAGAATCAGGTGAGACCCCAAAAGGAAGAGGACAAGAGCAGTAGTGTGTGAGCTGTGTGCCACTGGAAAGAGTGAGGAAGTCACAGCTGAGTGCCAGTCCCTCCCTCATCCTCCTGTCCAACTCCTCCCTGCAGTCGCTGTTCTCGGTGGGATGTACGCTGTCTTCTGTGGGACGAGAAGATGGTTAAGTGTACGTTTCAAAGAACTTGTCTGAATCATAAGTAGGTTTTCAGGCTGGACACAGTGGCTCATGCCTATAATCCCAGGAGTTTGATACCAGTCTGGGCAACATAGTCAGACCCCCTTCTCTATTATGTGTGTGTGTGTGCATTTGTGTGTGTGTGTAAATTATCCAGGCGTGGTGGCACATACCTGGCCTGTAGTTCTAGCTATTGGGGACACTGAGGTGGGAGGATTGCTTGAGCTCAGGAGATCAAGGCTGCAGTGAGCTATGATCACACCACGACACTCCAGCCTGAGTGACAAAGACCCTGTCTCTAGAAAAACAGAAAACAAGACCAAATAAAACAAAAAACACTAAGCTTTCAAAAAAGAAAAGACTCACACAGTTGGAGTAGCATAAAGTAAATCCCACAGACAAAGAGTAAGGTGCTGAGAAAGCAAACAGCTTGTTGGGCTCAGGAGCCTCGATAAACTTAAAGAGCAAAATTTGCAGTGGACAAGCCACAGATGATTTACACATCCCAGCTTTCCCAGATGTGTTCTGAATTCTCCCCAGGAGTGGCTGCCTCCACCTTTCCTGCGGACCAGGAGATCCTTACAGGCAAGGGCTTTGCTTTACTTGAATCCCCGTTGAATCCCCATTGTCTTGCCCCATTCTCCCCCACGAAAAGTCCTTGTGTGACAGGATTGAATTAGTGGCAATGATGAGCATCCCTGGTTTTGGACTTGCAGACTGGAGCCCTTCCCCGACTATGTGACGTGCTGCAAGTGCTGTGGGAAGAGCAAGACCAGTGCCTGCAGGAACTCTCCAGAGAGCAGACAGGAGACCTGGGCACGGAGCAGCCAGTGCCAGGTATGAGGCTTGCCACAGCCCATGTCCTCTCTTGGGGGTGGAGCATGTCCAGTCCCGCTGGGCAGGAGGAGCTTGTCCTGGGCCAGGATTGGATGTGGGAGGCTGATCTAGCTTTATTTACTCAATCAGCTGGGGGGGCCAGGGCTGGAGTGGTTCCGGTGAGCAGATCACATGGACCCCAAAGCCAGATCCTTACTACTCTTCTTTTCCTGGGCAAGTGAACATAGCCAGTGTTTTCCTACCATCAGCTTCTGCGTGCTGACTTGGCCAACTTAAGAGCTTGGTGGGAATTTCTTTGCAAGGCAGTTTTCCTCTCATTCATTCTCCCACCTCCCTGCCAGCTCCATGAGTGAGGTAGTAGGAAAGGCAGCCTGGGTCCACAATAGTGTGGGCTGCCTACTGGGTGACACTCACTGGCTGTGTGAACACAGGCATATTATTTAGCCCTCGGAGTCTCTATTTTCTGATTTATAGAATGGAGGTGGCCAGGTGTGGTGGCTCACGCCTGTAATCCCAGCATTCTGAGAGGCTGAGGTGAGTGGATCACCTGAGGTCAGGAGTTCGAGACCAACTTGACCAATATGGTGAAACCCCACCTCTACTAAAAATACAAAATTAGCCAGGCTTGGTGGCGCACGCCTGTAATTCCAGCTACTAGGGAGGCTGAGGCAGGAGAATTGCTTGAACCCGGGATGCAGAGGTTGCAGTGAGTCAAGATGGTGCCATTGCACTCCAGCCTGGGCAACAAGAGCAAAACTCTGTCTCAAAAAAAAAAAAAAGAATGGAGGTGATAACTTCTTCAGGATTATAATGATAAATGAGATAAAGTGTGTTAAATACAGATGCCTTGTAAATATTGCTAATTTAAATGTTAATTGTTATTATTAATCAACACTTTAAGAGTTAATGTTATATTTAAATGTTAACTTTATTTTTATTCCCTTCCTAAAAGTCTTGTTTTTGCTGTCTGTCGTCTAAGCATAAGGAGGGGTATAGCATTAAGAACCCACTGCAGGGTTCAAACGAACATCTGTACACGGATGTTCATAGCAGCCCCCTTCACAAGGATGAAGAGGTGGAAACAGCCCAAATGCCCATGAACTGATGAATGGATAAACAAAATGTGGTGTATCCATCCAGTGGGTATTATTCAGCTTTTAAAAAGAATGAAGTGGTGATACGTTCTACAGCATGGACAAGCCTTGAAACAATGCTAAGTGAAACAAGCCAGATACAAAAGGACATACATTGTGGGTGGGCATGGTGGCTCATGCCTGTAATCCCAGCACTTTGGGAATCCGAGGTGGGCAGATCATTTGAGGTCAGGAGTTCGAGACCAGCCTGGCGAACATAGCGAAACCCCATCTCTACTAAAAATACAAAAATTAGCCAGCATGGTGGCGGGCACTTGTAATTCCAGCTGGGCTGAGGCAGGAGAATCGCTTGAGCACGGGAGGTGGACGTTGCAGAGATCATGTCATTGCACTGCAGCCTGGGTGACAGAGTGAGACTCTGTCTCAAAATAAATAAATAAATATTAAAAAAAATAAAGGAACACACTGTATGATTTCACTAATATAAAATGTGCAGATGAGCCAAACCTATAGAGACAGATTAGTGCTTACCAGGGCTGAAGGAACGGACGATGGGAAGTGATTGCTTGAGGGGCACAGGTTTCCTTTTGGAATTGGTAAAAATGTGTTAGAACTAGATAGAGGTGATGTTTCCACAATATTTTATTGTGAAGGTACTAAATCCACTAAATCGTGCACTTTAAATCGTTAATGGTTAATGTTATGTTATATGATTTTTCTTCAATTTAAAAAGAGAGAGGGAAAGAAAAACAGAGCCCAGGCTTTTAAATTAGACAGACTGATCTTGAACAAGATTTCACATCTATTTTATGGAGTTGGTGTGAAATGAAAAGCATTCATTTTATATTTATCAGTTTTCACATCTATTTTATGGAGTTGGTGTGAAATGAAAAGCATTCATTCAAAGAATGCTTATTTAGCACTTAGTGGTGTCAGGTGAGTGGTGACAAAGGAGCATTGTCGGCTGTGCTCTCATCATTTAGGAATGTGTTTTGCGGTGCGTGGCAGGAGCTTGATACACTGGCTTCACCAGATAGCAATTTGTTTGTTGCATATTACAAAAAGAGCTGGAGCAAAGTTCCAAGATGTCGCCATATTCCGGATTCCTCCTCTCTTTTGCCTGAATGTGTGGCGTCTGTTCTCATGGTCATATAATGGCTGCTGTACCTCCAGGGAGGAGAGGAGAATACCTGCATTTCTGGCAGGAAGAAGAAGAAAGTCACTAGCAGGAAGGATGAGATAGACTGTAAGCCAGACTTTCTTGACACTCTCCCGGTGACTTCTGCGTATACTGCATCAGCCGGAATAGGACTGCATGGCCACCCCAGCTGCAATGGATACTGCAGGATGAGTTTATAGCTGTGCATGTAACCACCTGGAGCAAAACCAAGTCCTCCTCGTAAGAAAGAAGAGAAGGATGGCAGTGGGCAGGCTTTGCCATTGTCACCACGACTCAGCCTGGTGAGGGAGACATGGATCAAGTGATTAGAAATTCATGGCCAGGCGCGGTGGCTCATGCCTGTAATCCCAGCACTTTGGGAGGCCGAGGCAGGTGGATCACCTGAGGTCAGGAGTTCGAGACCAGCCTGGCCAACAAGGTGAAACCCCGTCTCTACTAAAAATACAAAATTAGCCATGTGTGGTGGTGGGCGCCTGTAATCCCAGTTACTCGGGAGACGGTGGCAGGAGGATCACTTGAACCCAGGAGGCTGAGGTTGCAGTGAGCCAAGATCGCGCCATTACACTCCAGCCTGGGCAACAAGAGTGAAACTCTGTCAAAAGAAAGAAGGAAGGAAGGAAGGAAGGAAGGAAGGAAGGAAGGAAGGAAGGAAGGAAGGAAAGAAACTCATATGAAATGATGAGATAAGAGCAGTATGTGGGTCTGCCAAAAGAAAGAAAAAGAAAGAAAGAAAGAAAGAAAGAAAGAAAGAAAGAAAGAAAGAGAAAGAAAGAAAAGAAAGAAAGAAAGAAACTCATATAAAATGATGAGATAACGGTGAAACTCCGTCTCTACTAAAAAATACAAAAAACTAGCTGGGCGAGGTGGCGGGCGCCTGTAGTCCCAGCTACTCGGGAGGCTGAGGCAGGAGAATAGCGTAAAACCCGGGAAGCGGAGCTTGCAGTGAGCTGAGATCCGGCCCCTGCACTCCAGCCTGGGAGACAGAGCAAGACTCCGTCTCAAAAAAAAAAAAAAAAAAAAGAGATAAGAGCAGTATGTGGGTCTGCCTGAGTGTCTAATCAGGAAGCTTGACCTGGCCTGGGCCTCCATGAGGGCTTTCTTGAGGAAATGATGTTTGAGCCAAGGCCTGAGCCTGACTGGTGGTTACTGAGCACGGACATGAAGGATCCTGCTGCAGGATGAGCACACAGGGGCTCATCAGCCCTTGGGAGATTTTCATCCTATCCTAAGAGCGGCCAAAAGCCCAGGAGAGTCTTAGGAGGCCAGGGGTGTGACTGTCTGCATTATGAAAGATCACCTCTGCCACAGTGTGGGAGGTGAACTGGAAAAGGACACGAGTAGTTCAGAGAGACCCGCTGGGAGCCCGGTGGGCTAGGCAAGAGATATGATCACTGGGACTGGATAGGATGTCATTGTTTGGATTCCCCAGAAGCAGGTGATTCCAGGCCAGATCAGTAGGACTGGGAACCAAGACAGGGAAGGGAAGAAAGCTGGTAAATGTTGCGTCATCACTGTGGGCACTTGTGGAACACACGCCTCCAAGTCGCACAGGAGCTGGAGGATGCATCCACCAGTGTCCCGTCAGTCAGAGGTGGGGCTGCTTCAGGACACGCAGCTTTCATTCCCTTGCACTGCCAGCCTGCTGTGCTTAGTGACAGAATTGCCTCCAGTAGATAGAGAAAGCCCCCAGACAAAGGGATACTGGGCCAGTGGGTGAAAGTGAGATTGGGTATGCCCAGAAAAGGTTAAGGCTAAGGAGTTAGAAGCAGGTTCCGCTGCGAGGGCTGGAGAGGCGTACACCCATAGCAGAGCTGTGTGGGTGGGAGACACTGACCACACATGGTGATGAGCTGGATTGGGAATGAGGTGAGAGACAGAGAATCCAGGATGGCCCCCAGGTGTCTGACTTGAGCAACTGGAGGAAGAAGTAAAGGAAAATCAGTATTTTGGAGGAGAGGAGATTAAAAATCACAAATGTAGTTTTAGACATGTAGAGGTGAGACTACAGAGTAGGGATGAGGGCTGGGGATAAACCTCCGCATAGGCGCAGGTGAGGCTGAGGTTGCACCAGGAGAGTACAGGAGCGGGAAGGGAAGAGGACCCAGGAGCCAGTCTGGAGCCCTCCCGGCCCCCATTTGTCAGGAGCAGCTGGAAGCAGAGGAACATGAGGGCGTGTGATCAGCAGAGGCAGCAACGTGGATGCTGCAAACGTGCTTTAGCCCATGCACTCGACCACTGCGCGAGGGACAGGGACAGGGACAGGGACAGACATCTCTCCCATAGTGTGAGCCTTTGCTTTCCCTCTACCTGACTGCACTTTCCCTCTGGCTCTGACTGCACTTGGGGAGCCAGACCATGGTCTTACGGCATTCATGGGGGCACCAAAGAGAGCCTTCTGATTTCCTGCTACCCCCAGCAACTGTGTCTGGGACAGGAAGAAGCAAGGCACCAACAAGGCCAGCCTGAGGTGCAGCTGAGTCGTGGGTGCCCCCCACCTCGTCTCCCCAAGGACAATGCCTGAAATTCCGATGACAGCAGCCCTATGAGATAGGGCCTAGAATGCGGAGCCTCTCTGGGGGCTGATGGTGAACTTTCGTTTATACTGAGAAGTAAGGGATGGTTATTTTAACATGAGATGTGTTTAAAATGTCCCACTGTTCTCCAGTGGTTCCAGGATGAGGCCCAGCTCCTGACGTGGCCCCTGTCCACATCTCCACCCCAAACACTGCCAATCAGCTCAACTCTCAACCAAATTGCTTGCAATTTCCTGCCTGTCCATTTCTTTCCTGCCTCCAGCTTTTGCACATGCAGACCCCTCTGCTACAACACCATTCTCCATCTTCTTCCCTCTGAAACCACCCGTCTTTTCAGACTCTTCTAGGAATGATGTCTGAGTGTCCATAGCTCCTCTGGCCAAGTGAGTCACCCCGACTCCTGCAGGAGACTGTTTCTTTCTCCTCGCACCTCTGCACTGCACTGTAAACGTGTGTTTCCTGGACTGTCCCTGCCCCAGCCTGAGGCAGCAACAGTGTCGCCTTCCTTCTTCCCCAGTGTTTTTGACACAGGTCTTGCCAGACTGAATATTCAGTGTGTGTTTGTTGACTGACTTACTGAGTGAATGAGGGCAGATACATGACAGAGAGCAGGGAGAAAAGAGAAAACAAAAGACCGCCAGCCCCAAGGAGAGAGTGGGAGATGAGATGGAGCCTTGGAGGCAGGCGAGGCCCCTGCAGAGGACACAAATGCCCCCAGCTGCCCAACTTGTCACAGATTAGCTGAGGCGAGCGATGTGGTCCTGGTCACCGGTGGAGGGATGCTCTCCAGGGTCTGGCTTTGGGGGACAGAGGGGAGTCCCTGTTTTCTGTGGCCCTCCGCTACGGAGTGGTGAGCTGGCTCTGCCTGCCTCACTCAGGCCCTGACTAGTGACCATGCTGGCTGGGGTTCCCGCTCCCCTCTGGGCACCCGGAATTCCTGTTGGGCTGTCACAGTTCGAGGAAGAGACTCTCCCCACCGGGGTGGGACTCACGGCTGGATCTGGTGAGATGAGCAGGGCTGAATGCCAGGCAGGAAGCAGACAGAGTCAGCTGGAGTCGGTGCCACTCTTCCTTTCTGGGGCTCTTGGGTAGAGGATTCTCCCCACTCCTCAATGTGCCCATTTTAAAGTGTGGAAAATAATCGGATCAACTTCACGACGCTGTTGTGGGGAATAAGTGAATTACTACCTGAAGAAGGCAGAAGCTCCTCTCACGGCCTCTGTCCCAGCCCTTTGGTGCAGCCAGGCTGACCTCTGCCATGAACGGCTGGGGTCCAGTTAGGCGCTCAGCCCTGCCTGTGGGTGCTGCCTCTTCTGCGAACCTCTTGCCCAGTCACCTTACCAATGCCAAGTGCACATCCATATTACTCCAGGAAGTTGCACCCACGTCCACGTCTCAATTCTGGGTTGACTGATCTGAGCAGAGTCGGTCGTCTTTCTTCCCTAAGGCACCCCATGCAGTGCAACAGCCCTTTCTGCCAGGTCCTGACTGCATCCAGGGCCGAGAAAGCTCACTGGGGATTCCTGCTTGACTTCTGCCTCACACTCACTGGGGGCACCTGGGCAAGCCCTGACCACACCCCTCTCCTCCGGACCTCACTCTCCCTGAGAAAAGGGCTCCCCTGGCTTTGCAAGAGCTGCGGTGTCTGGCCAGGCCCTGGTGGCAGAACCAAGGAGGGCCAGCATGCAGGTGGGTGAAAGGGTGGCTCAGCTGACCCTTGCATCACAAACAGCTGTCACTGGGATCTGTTTTGCATATTGGCCTTCTGCAGTGTGCATGTAGGAAAGGGGATCTGTTACTTTGAAAACATGGTTTTAAAGCCCTAAAGATGTCCAAGGACTCTGCCTGCTGGAAAAGTCTTCAGGTCTGCCGCACTGAGGGGGTCAGAAGCCGGGGCCAAGGGCTCCATCTGGGACTGTGGAGCGGGTGTGATGTCTGAGGAAAAATCCCCTAAAAGACTAAGAGGAAAAATGGCCAAGGCCTAGATCTGGTGCCCAGGGGGCCTCTCTCAGCACCGAGGCTCTATCCTGGCACCTGTGTGGAGGAAGGGACTGCTGGGGCTCTCCGTTGAGAGTGCAGGGTTAATGGTTAAGCTCCCTGGGGTAGAGGTTAATATTTGAACGCCAGACGAGTTACAGGAAACACCACTCAAGGAGCTGTCACCGAGCCCGCCACACTTATCACAAATAAAAAATTAACTCTTCAGCTATTCCGGGTTAGGTGGCCAAGGTCTTACTGGCATTTTGTGGGAACATTTCACGGTCACCCTAATAACTGCATGGCCTGCCCCACAGGGCTATTTATTACTTTGTTTACAGAAGTCAATACCCCCTCAGAGCTGGCTGGTGGAAGGGCCATGGCTCTCCCCAGGGAAAGAATGTTCCAGAAGGACAATGTGGTGACATGAAAGGTGTGGGTTTGACAGTCAGACAGACCTGGGCATGTGTCCTGCTCTGTCACACAGGTGCTCTGTGACCTTGAGCAAGACGCTGGTCCTCTCGGAGCCTTAGTGTCCTTGCCTTCAAGTGGGATCATGCCATCCCCTTTTTCTTCTTGTCTCTGCCTGCTGGTTGCCCACTCCCCAGGGCATGGGTCCAGGAAAACAGGTTTTTTATTTTGTACCTTTTTTATTGAGGTGAAATTCACATAGCATGAAATTCACCATTTTAAAGTCAATAATTCAATGGCAGTTAGCACATTCATAATGCTGTATGCGGCCACCAGCTCTATCTCATTCCAAAATCTCCTCATCACCCCAAAATAAAATCCCTGTACCCATTAAATCATCATTCCCCTCCATCCCTCTCCCCAGCTGCTGGCTATTACTAATCTGCTTTCTGTCCCTGTGGATTTGCCAGTGCTGGACATTTCATATCAACGGAAGCATTTGCTACGTGACTTTTTGTGTCTGTCTGCATTTGCCGAGAATAATGTTCTTTAGGTTCATCCACAGTGTAGCATGAATCAGTTCTTCACGCGTGCTGGCTGTTAGTGCAGTTTTCTCTAACATTCCTAGCTCCTAGCTCCTTTCTGGAGTCTCCTGGCCCCCCGATGCCCTCTGGCAGCCACGCCCTGGACCATCCTCCACGGCTGCCCACAGCTCACCTCTGCCCATTCTTCTCTTGGCACCACTGATCTTGGCTCATTTTTCCAAAATATGTTAGCTTATGTTCGTATAACATTCTAGACAATTTAAATTTTTAGTTCTTAAAACAGCTGTGCAATAAGCACTATAATTACTCCCATTTCATAGATGAGAAAACAGGCTCCAAGCAGCCCAGGATCACACAGAGCTGACACAGGACTCAGCTTTGCCATCCAGTCTAATCCAACACAGCACAACTGAGCTGTGAATGACTGATAACCTTACCCTCCCGAGTTAAGGGTTTTCCATTAGAGAAAACAAACAAAAAAGACGAGATTGCTGCTGGCAATTAATCCTTAATTCGCTTGAAAGGTGGTGTGAAATGAAGAGCTTTACATCAGGTGAGGAAGAGTTCTTCGGTGGATGAGGAGGGTTCCGTGAGGGTGGCACACACTTTGTGCAGTCTCTGGAAGGGGAAGGACTTAGCTCCCCGTGCTCAGAAGCTGGCCTGGGGCTGGCCTTCTGGACATAGATGGGCCAGCCTGCTCCAGAGAAGTGGCTGCTCGGTCTCAGGGCTGGAAGGGTTCTTCATCTCATCTAGTGCAGACTTCATTCAGTGTCTGATGCTCTTCCCAGTCTCCTAATTCCATGACTCTCTGCTTGACTACTTTCAGTGATGGGCACCTCATCACTCTCAAAAGAGTTCATCCCATCAAACAGCTTATGATTCCTGGTTCCAAGACTCTTTAGCTGTTTTTCCTGTGATGTGCTTTTAAATACCTTTGTTGCCCTGGGAATTCAGCTCCTCTAGCCCCATCCTGACCACAGCTCCTGTGTGTCCAGCCATCACAAATGACAGCGACACCTTCTCGACTTAAGACTGTAGGTCAAGCCATTAGCAAAGTTGAGGAAAACTCACCAGGCTGCCCCTTGGATGGCCTGGGGATGGGGCCAGGGCTGAGCCAAGAGAGGCAAAGGGAGACACGATGCAACTGGGAAACAGGCCGCTGTGCAGGAGCTTGTCCTAAGCCACTGTGGATTCTGGGGAGGAGAAAGGGATGAGTGGGGGTGAGCAGGGGTGGAGGTGCCTGAGAGATGGATGTGGCAGTCCGTAGGCAGAGGAAAGAGCAAACACCAGCGGAACCAGAAGGTAGGAGAGGACAGACACAAGGGCAAGACAAAGAGCAGCTGTGGCTTCCCTGGTGACCCCATCAGCCGATGAAGTGAGCACCACGGACATGGAGGGGTGTGAGTGGCCCAGTTCAGCATGGCCCAGCCTGGCCCCATGCCACTGCAGCCTGACACATTGCTCCAGAAATAGCCCCAGATTTTTATCAGGCCATCTGAGCTTATTTATAAATAGAGGACTGTAGGATGGAGGCTCCACGCCGGGTAGACACAGGGCAAACTCCCAGGCACTGTCCTGCCCTTTCAGATGGCACTTTCCCCTCTCTCAGCCCTCCCCCCACCCACCCAGACCTGCCTCTGGGGCCACCTCTCTATCCCTGTGGGCAGGCCAGAAGAAGCTGACATTGCTGGGTCTGCTTCAGACCAGGGGCTCCACAAACATAAAGACCACGAATCTTTACCTATAAACCCCTTTGGGTGAAACTAGAACTTTCTCCATTTTCTGACCTTAATTCTGATTACATTCTCCTGGGATGGCAGACATTTCTGAATCTTCCCCTGCAGTTTTCCCAGGGGGCTAGAGATTCACGTAGCACCACCGTGTTCAGGGGGATCTCGCCTGCGGCTGACAATGCTGTCAGTCACAGGTGGGGACTGGCAGGGCCATCTATCCTGGGCCACTGGCCCCTCCTGTGCTTTGCCGAGAGACATGGGCTCGGCAAGGCTGTGTGTGGTCTGCCTGTCTAGACCTGCCCCCACAGCCGTTTCTCCTCTGGGCCATCCTACCTCCTCAGGGCTGGCTGGGCAGCTGGGTATTTGCGCCCCTTCTGGAACCTTCCATGTCCCAACGCATCACTTCCCCTCCATCTCTGCCCAGCCTGTGGGAATTCTTGCTCTTTTTCAGTTTTTCCCTAGTGCTTTGATTATTCCAGAACACCTCTTCATCCCCCAGAGGCCTTCGGAAACCCAAGCCAGGAAGTTTTCCTGCCTTTCTCTGTGACTTCAATCTGAAGAGGAAGGAGAGAGGAAAGGCAAAAAAAAAAAAAAAAAAAAAACCAAAAACCAAAAAACAAAAGCAAACAAACAAAAACACAGGAGAAGAAAAAAGAAGAGATGGATGGATCAGAAAGTATTCCACTGCACCCACGTATCATTTAATTCTCTCAAAAATCCTGGGAAATATTACTGTGCCCATTTTACAGATGAGGAAACTGAGGCTCACGGAGGTTAAGTGTCATACCCAAGGTAGGCTTGGGTCCAAAGCCCATTCTATCTCCACCACACCACCTCCCTCAACCTGGTATCCCATGCCGTCCTCCTGGGCCATGGGCACTGGGGCAGGCAGCCCCTCCTCCCCAGGCGGTGTTTGTGGGCTGGCATTGTCTTCTCTTGGTTCCCCACTGAAACTTCCCAGCCTTCCATCCCACCCCCTCCAGCCAGACAGTTGGTGGCGGAGGTGGCCATCAGAGACAACAAGGGGTGGGGAGGTCTGCTCTTCTCATGCTTTGGATGTGCCTGCCCACACAGCTAATGTATATTTCTTCTAGCCCTGGCTCTCCTGGGGCGGTGACCCCTCCCTCGTGGCTCAGTAAGTGTGGCACTATTGACAAAGCTCCCCCATCCCCTATCTCAATGAATGCCGCTCACCCCCGAGTCAGGCAGTGAACTGTGCTGCTCTGGAACTAAAACTGCCCAGGGAGACCCCAGTCCTGGGTTGCGTCCCTTCCCTGCCATGGCTGCCTGGGAAGGCCAGAGCCAGGACAGCTATCCGAAGCTAAGCCAGGAGCGCTCTCCCCTGCCTCCCATTCATGCTTGGCTTGGGGGACTGGGGAGTCCAAGAGTGGGGTCCGAGATGCTGCATTCAAAGCCTGGAGACAGTGCAAGGCAGCCTCCACAAGCACCAAGGAGGCCACACGGACTGCCCGGCTCCCCCAAGCCACATTCCCTGCAGCGCGGCTATAGCCACACACCTCCTGTACTGTGGTTTCCTTCGCATGTTTTCCTTTCAGTCAATGGACTTTTAAAAAACTTAGCCTCATCCTAAACAACAGTAGCTATAAAATCACAGCTGTGATATGCTAGTTTTATAATGTTTCTAATACACATTAAATTTTCTTTTAAAAAGTGCAACTATGAAAAAATGTTCAACTATATACCAGCCAAAAGCACAGGCCGCCAGTGAGTGGTGAGCTCACCTCACGCTGGGAAACCCCGGGTCTGTTCTGTGCCTTCTGTGCCCAGATGGTGGAGCCAGGGCTGGAAGAGAGCAAGGTAGTGTCACTGGTTCTCAGGAAATGAGCAATGCTGTGTGGGGCTGGCAGTCAGGTCTTTTGCCACCGAGGCCAGCCTGGAGGAGGCAGCCTGTCCCAGGCTGCCGAGATGGGAAGGCTGAGTGGGATCCCAGCTCCATTATCACCAGCTCTGGCACCCACACTTGTCACTTCCCCCTCTTGGAGCCTCAGCTCCCTCATCTCTGCTGTGGGGCAGTGACCCTAATGACCCTTGGGCTGCGGTCAACCTCAGCTCCAGGACGTGTGATGTGCATCCAGCACAGGCCTGGCATGGCCTGTCCCCAGGCATCCCTGGGGGCCCTGCCTGACATGACCCAAGTTAGGAAGCCTCTCAGACGTGCTGGCACCGTCCACATCTGTCTGGCCAACCAGCCAGACAGCCAGCCTGCGGCTGGTGCCCTGGCTGACCTGGCCAGTCCAGCCAGCGCTGAATCTGTTTTTCCCCAAGTGAGGCAAAGGTTCCTGCCTTTTTCCATGCTCTGGAAATGCCCCAGCTGCTTCCAACGCAAGAGAGGCTGACCCAAGCCGGCAGGGGAGCTGCAACTCGAAACGAGGCGCCCTGCACATCCTGCTGCCACCCTGAGATGGCCGCAAAGGGAAAGAGGGCCCTGGGTCAGCCTCTGCCTCCCGAAACTCCAGGTGCCAGGTTAGGTCAGCATGGAGACAAATAGTGGGCTGTCCGTAAAGGGTCCTCAGGACTGAGTCCCCACCCCACAGGCATCTGGGTAGGCCCAGGGTTACCCGGCAGGCCTGCCGAGTTCCCGAGACCCTGCTCAGGCCCAGCCAGCAGCGTCCACAGCTGGAATGGGAACAAGCAGCCTCGGGATAGTGGCGGAGCCCTCCCTGGGGAGTGCGCAGCAGAGAGAAGCTCCCGCTCCTCCTCTTGCAGGTGAAGCTTCTGGAATATCCAAGGGGTTCCTCATCTCCCATATGCCTCCAAGGACACAGACCCCTGCTCCTTGGCCTCATAAATGCTTCCACTGTCCTATGAAAGCCCCGCCCACACACGGCCTTCTGTGTCCCTCTCCAATTCTACCACGCCCTTGCTCATGGCCGCCCTTGTGGTTCCTGGGACTGCCCCACCTCCAAAGCCCCCACAGGCATCCTGATTTCAGGACTGGGTTCCTTTCTGGGCCCTCCCACTTCTCTCCCACTAGGGGGCTGGGCCTCTCTTCAGGGAGAAACAGGCCACACCTGCTGTGGCTTCCCCGCTCTAGGCCAGCATCCTCCCTGACCCAGGCCCTGGCCCTGCCCACCCTACCCTTCCCCACCCCCCCACCTCTCTCCAGTTCCCAGAGCCTGGCTTGAACAAGGAGGGCACTAGGCAGCTGGGGCCAGTGTCATCTGGAGACAGGTCAGGTGGCTGGAGGGCTGGGTGAAGATAGCTCTCATCCCCTCCATTCCCTGGCTGTGTGGCCTGGGAAGCCACTTCTGGCTCAGCTTGATTGCCGCGTTTATGAAGTGGGGGTAGAGCCAGGCACCTCGGGAACTGGGGGGCACTGCCATGGGATTACATGAACTCAAGTGTGGGACGCACAGAGCTCTTCCCCATCGGCACCACACCAGAGCTGGCAGGCCCTGAATGCAGAATGTAGAAGTCAACTGGGTGTCAAGGTGAAAGCCCGTTTACGAGGGGTGCCTGGCGGGGACTGGTGCGGGAGGCAGCGGTTCCAGCTGGCGTCCCTTCATTTGTTCATCTGCTGTTTGCTGAGCACCTGTGCTATGCCTGGCCCATCATAGCCCCAGGAGCCTGCTCTCCTGGGCTCTCTGCCTGGTGGTGGGGGAGGCATCTGTACCCAGGCACCAAGTGAAGACACAGCTGGCAGTGACCCCCACTGGTGGGTCTGTGACCGCCTGTCTCACTGCCTGTGAATTACTCCTGGGAGCCAGCGGTAGCGCTGAGCCTAGAAATGAGGAACGCTCAGCGGTGAGGAGCAGGGAGGCTCAGAGTGGAAATTCTTAAAGCGAGTCCTGGGACCGCTGCAGCAGCGTCTTTGGGGAATTCTTAAAATGCAGATTCCTGGGTCTGGCCTCACAAGGAGGATCTGGGGCCTAGAGGTCTGCGTATCTCTGACAGGCACCCAGCTCATTCTGATGTAGACTGGAGGCTCACGCTTCTGCAATGGGACAGGTCGCCAGGGAGATTTCACTTAGAGGGGATGATGGAGTCAAGGACACTATGGATGCTCTGGGTCTGGTCAGATTCATGCCTGAAAATAGATTCTTGCTCCTTAAAAAGCTGAGCGTTTGCCATCTGGGTACTCCCGCGACGTCTGCACACCGCATCCATCGCCCAGTCCCCAGAGCTAAGGATTGCCACCACTCAGGAGACCCAGCCTAGTCCAACCTCCTGAGTCCAGATGAGAAAGGAACAGGCCTGGGGAGGCCAGTGGGAAAGGGGTTGCCAGTCCCAGTGCCTGCTCCAGGCAGGCTTTTGAGGTGGGCTTTGAGCTCTTCCTCTGGATAGCCTCAGGAGGGAGGGGCTGGTCCTCCCGGAAGAGACGAGCAAGTGAGCAGGGCAGCTGGCAAGGTGGGGCAGGCCTGGAGCCCGGGTCAGCCGACTCGAGTCCTGGCTCTTTCTTTTTGGGCTCTGCCCTGTGCCATGTTCCCCAAACTGGAGGACCACTGACTGCGGCTCACCTCATGGGTGTCCCTCAGCTCATTTCCAGCCCCTTCCAAGCCTGGCCCAAGTTTTGACCTCTCAGAGGGCACGGGTTCCAGAAATCTGTCGCAGGAAGCAGTTTCCCTGCGTGGCTGCCCTCGGATCAACTTTGGGAGAATTGGTGGGTGGTTACGTGAAATGATGTCTTAAAAGACAGTACAGTCACAGCTCACACACAAATGTCAAAAGAATACCTGCCGAACAGCTTGTTTAATTTGTGAGGGAGTCAGTAAGATCTTATCACTGGTTCATAGAATTCAAAGTACCTGATATGGTTTGGCTGTGTCTCCACTCAAATCTCATCTTGAATTGTAGCTCCCAGAATTCCCATGTGTCATGGGAGGCACCTGGTGGAAGGTAATTGAATCTTGGGGACAGGTTTTTCCCATGCTGTTCTTGCGATAGTGAATATGTCTCATGAGATCTGGTGGTTTCATAAAGGGGAGTTTCCCTGCACGTGTCCTCCTGCCCACGGCCATGTAAGAAGTCCCTTCGCTCTTTCTTCATCTTCCGCCGTGATTGTGAGGCCTCTCAGCTATGTGGAACTGTGAGTCCATTAAACCTCTTTCCTTTATAATTACCCAGTCTCAGGTATGCCTTTATTAGCAGCATGAAAACAGACTAATGCAGTACCGTACCTATAAGACAGAATGGTAATATGAATTTACAAATAGATGCAAAGCTGGCTGAATACACAGGGAGGGAAGTGAAATTAATCGTATTTCAACTGGACAATAATGATTGTGCCTATGGACGAGAATCATTTGCATTGCTGCCAATCATCTAGAAGTTACAGAGTTGCAGAAAAGCTCGAAGACAACAAAAGGCCTGGCACCCCATTGAATCAGATAATCCAGAAAGCTGTACTTAGACAATGCCTAGTTTTGCACTGAAAATACCTAGTGATTTTTTTTTTATTCAAGTCTTTCAGTCTTAATTTTATTAAAGTCTTTTAGTTTTTGGAAGTGGGCCACACATCTAGCTCTGAGCTTCCTAGCAGCCAAATCAAAGAAGAAACCAGCTTCAAATGCAGTGTCTATATATACTAGCTGTTCACAATAAGTTCAGCTTCTCACTGCACTGAGACCAGATTCTCCTTCTGGGAGGGGCCTCATCAAGGGAACTCAAGTGATGTAGAAAGCAACATCCTCAATAATATTCTTGCCGCAAATAAGTGGTGACCCTTGTGGAGCTGTGTCCATAGGCCAGGGCAGTGGCTCTGAGTGTGGTCCCAGGACAAACGGCATCAGCATCACTTGGGAACTTGTTAGAAATGCAGATACTCAGCCCCCACCCCAGACCTACTGAACAATCTGTGTTTTAATAATCCCTCTGGGTGATGCTAATGCAAGCTGAAATTTGAGAACCGTGGGACAAGAGTTCTCAACCCTGCAGTCAAACGTTAGAATTACCTGGAAGGCTTTTAAAGGACATGATGCCTGGGCCCACCCAAACCAATTCGTGCAGGATCGCTGTGTGCCACACCGGCTATGTCTATTTCTAAAGCTCCCCAGGTAGTCATACCATGCAGCTAGGAGGGACGCCCACTGCTGCTTAGTCATTTAATGTAAACTGATTGGCCAACAGATGTGCCATCTGCTCCAGAGAAATCCAGACCTTCACTTGCAAAGCTTATAGGAGAGGGTGCCTTCCTTCTTTCCTTCTTCCCTTCCTCCCTCCCTTTCTTACTCTCTTCTATCTTCAACACTGAGCACTACCATGTAGATGGCAGAGTCCAAGGGTCCGAAGAGGAAAAGGTGCATTAGACACTATTGGTTCCTGATTCCAAGGAGTCAGCACCTACTGGGAACTTTGGAAGTAGTCTAATGGGAATTCCAGGCAGGGGAGGGTGTCAGTGATGTGGACAGCATGGTAGGGCAGCCCTCGGTCCATCCCCCATCCTTGTCTGATGATGCTTTTCTTGGCAGGTTGTGAGGGGATGTGGGACAACATAAGCTGCTGGCCCTCTTCCGTGCCGGGCCGGATGGTGGAGGTGGAGTGCCCGAGATTCCTCCGGATGCTCACCAGCAGAAATGGTAACCACTCAGCCCATGGGGCCTGGTGGAGAGGCTGGGGGGGTGGCCCTCTGGGTGGGGCCTCAGCTTAGAGGCAGGAGGCCAAGGAACCTTCTCTGAGGACAAGTATGGGTACAATGATGGGGGGAGATCACTGCAAAGAATTGGAAGCCTTGCTTGGGAATGTGGGGTGGACTCAATTCTCAGGGTCTCAAGCAAGGGGGCGGGAGGCAGTGCACTGGGGAAGGCAGTAAGGGAGCCAGCCTGGGCCTGCTTCTGTCTTCCCCAGGCCCTTCAGTTAGGAGCTCTCTTCCTTCCTTCCATGTTTCTGCCCCCTTAGCAACTAGGGGCCTTGTTCCAGTCCCCATGTCTGGATCCCCTCCTGGCAGTGGCAGGCTCCCTAATGGCCTGGCCTTCCAGAATTCTTCCTTCCTCTGTCAGGCCCTGCTGAGAAACTGGCTCCCTGGGAGCCCCTGGCCTCCTGGAGCAGGGGGTTCTCTTACCCGAGAACGACTGCAGTTTTAAGAATTTTCCTAGTTGACTCATATTGATTAGAAGTCGACCTATGCACTGGGCATTTTTATATTAACACATGGGCTCATTTAGTCACCATAAACCACCCTGAAGATCACAGGCCTTTTCCCTTGATCCGGTAAAGAGTAATAATAACAGGAACTAGAAAAGCTGTGCAGCTGCCCCTCTTTCCTGGTCCATGCAGGACAGGAAAGCTGCCTGATGAAGCCTGAACAAGAACAGGTGATTTAACACTAAAACCCACCAGCCTTTCAAAGTCAGGCAAGGGAAAGATGACCATGGGCCAGAGACTGTGGGAAGGCAGTGCAGATTCTTCTCGCCGTAATTCTGTTGTACATATGCACGTGTGTGCACACTCACACACATATCTGGGGAACATGCTGCTCCCTCGAAGCCTCACTCAACACCCTACGCTATGGGAATTGGGGAGGTTGAGGTAGACAGGCTTGAACCCCGCTCCTCCACTTCCTGGCTTGGTAGTGCTGGCTGCTGTAACAGACAATGCCCCATATCTCAAAGCCTTCATGCAAATTTGTCCACAGAAAGTCCAAAACAGGCCGGGCGCGGTGGCTCATGCCTGTAATCCCAGCACTTTGGGAGGCCGAAGTGAGTGGATCTCCTGAGGTCATGAGTTCGAGACTAGCCTGGCCAACATGGTGAAATCCCATCTCTTCTAAAAATACAGAAATTAGCTAGGCGTGGTGGTGCACACCTGTAATCCCAGCTACTCAGGAGGCTGAGGCAAGAGAATCACTTGAACCTGGGAGGCTGAGATTGCAGTGAGTGGAGATCGTGCCACTGCACTCCAGCCTGGGCGACAGAGTGAGACTCTGTCTCAAAAACACAAAACAAAACAAAACAAGAAACAAACAAAAAAACCCTCCAAAACAGGAAACAGGTGTTCCTGATGAGCATGCAGCTCTCCTCCACACGGTGACTCCAGCACCCCATACCTCACAACTGTGGCGTCACACAGTTTCCAGGCTGACTGGCAGAGGGGAAAGGACCCTGAGGACCACATGGCAGAGGTTCATAAGGGGCCGGCCTGGGAAGGACCCCACTCTGCCTACATTCCTTCGGCTAGAACTCAGTTACATGGCAACATCTAACTACAAGGGACTTGGGGAAATGTCTTTTAGCTGGGTGCCAGTCAGCCCCAGGATCCAAGTTGCTCACTGTTGCTGAGCCTCAGTTTTCCTGACTGTAAAATGGGGAAAATAAGTAGACCTGCCCTGTAAGGCTGTGCTTGGAAATAAATTTTGTCCCTTCTCCCCTACTGCTCTCCCTTCTTTTCCTTTTTCTCCTTCCCACCTTACTTCCCTCACCCCTGCCACACACACCCCTGCAAGCTTACCAACTTTACCTGCCAGCGTGGCCCCTCCATGCCTGCCTCTGGGGTCCTGGGAGCTCAGGACACAGGAGATGAGTCCAGATGTGGGGCACCTGGAGCCCCAGGCTGGTCAGGTCCAGACTCGGCTTTCTGACTCCCATGCAGTGCTCCTCCACAGCTGACAGGGTTTTCTCCTGATGGAAAGGACTGGAAGCTCTTCTCCTTTACAGCCCTCCCTTTTCAGCCTTCCCAGAGCCACAATGCCTCCGCCTCCCCCAGCACCGTCCCTTCTGCCCTTCTGCAGAGGGGACAGGCAGAGCTGGTGCTCTCGGCCGCAAAGGGACCAGGTGCCAGTCCTGTCACATTTTTTCTCAATTAATTGCTTGAACCCCTCCCTGCCTCATTACGTAAAGGCTCAGTGTCTCCCTCTTGAGGCTCCCCCACCCTTGGATTGCTCATGGTCCACCGCAGGAAGCTCGGGGGGTCCCGGTATGTCCGCACAACGTGAGGATGGAAGCTGGGGTCCTGTGCAGACTCTGCTGCAGTTTCTTCTCGTCGCCACATGGTGTCGCTGTGGGGCTGCAGGGCCACTCCCAAGGCCTGACTATTGGGCTCTGGGCTCGCTCCAGGGTGGTGGGGGCCATGTTGTTCATACCCAGCCTCGGGGTGGGTGGCCCAGAACACAGGTCAACACCTGTCTGGCCTCAATTTGTCACCAAGAACTCCCACCCACCCCACCTTCCTCCCCATAGATCTACTTCTGGGTCTGATTAGACCCCTGCCCCTTCATCTCCCGGCAGGAAGGCAGGCTTCCCCAGGTGGTGCCCCCAACCCTAACCCCAGGGGGAGCAACCAGTGAAAATGAACTAATTTTCCTTCGGGGCACCTACTACATGGGTCCTGACGGGGGGGTGGGGTCCATGTGACTGGAGAAACCGCAGGCCGATTCTGCCCCCAGATGTTTCTGTTCATGCCAGGCCTAGAACGCTCCCTCAAGGGTGTGTTCCTTTGATTCTGAAAAGGACGCTGGTCTTCCAGAGTTCCTTATCAAAAGACACATTTCCCCAGCGGTGTCCCCTTGGCCCTCTTTCTCTTCCTACTTAGTGAGGATCTGGCCTTAAAGCGGTCATGTTTTCCAACCTAATTAGGGCCCCGGAGCCTTCTGAAAATCAGATAAAAGCTTTGGACTGGCTTTCCCCAAACTGCATATATATATACACACACACACACACACAAACATCCTTTCGGGTTCCCCTGCGGTGCACACTGGCCTGTGCCTGGTTAATTCCCTTACCTATTAGGAATTCAGCCCTGGGGAAGTGGGGAGGCAGCTCCTTTGCAGCTCTGCAGAGTGGAAGGCGGGGGCCCTGCCCTGTTAGCAGCTCTGGGCACCTGGCCTGGGTCACATGCAGCATCTGTCTTGGGAGTCCTGCTGGGTCAGTGAGGAGAGGGCCCCAAACAGGCAGGCCTGCTGCCCTGGGCGAGCCCACAGGGAGCCCAGCCTCTAGGCATGCACTGTCTGATAACCTTCGATTCTGGCCTTGGGGGAGTTTGTGTTCCCTTAAATCGCCTTCCCGTCCACCCAGCCTAAATTTGACCACCGTTGTTTCCCATCTGACAACCTAACTCCCTTGATTTAATTCCAGAAACCTCCCCACCCCTCCCCTAAATTCCAAGATTCCAAGCCCCACCCACTCCTGCCTATTTTAGAAAGGCCAAAAAGAGAGGGGAATGATGCCTCGGTGCCCGCTCTGTGCCTGGCACCAGCCTGGGCATTTTCCGTGTGCTCTCATGTTCCCTGCTCACTCTTGCAGTGTGGGTGATGATTTTGTGGCACGGAGAAATGACGCACCGAAGGTCACACAGCGACCAACAGGCTGCACTGGGTTTCAAACTCGGATCTGGCTGCTTCTAAACCTGGGCTCCAGGCCTCCTGAGGCTTCACAGGGCAGGCATGCCCAGATCTCAGAGGACATGGTTTCCTGGTACTAACACTGCCCCTGAGACTTCAGGAAGAGGGCCCGGTGGGAGGGCAGAACAGTGATGGCATACACTGTGGCTGGGCACCATAACTCAATTCTGGGCCCTGATGTTCTGGCCTGTAAAATGGGCAGCAGCACCTCCCTCAGTGGGGCACTGTGAGGATTAGACCCTAAACCCTGTGAGCCAGGGGCCCAGTCCCTGGGGTCTGTGTAAAGAAGCATGCCACGCTCAGTGAGAGCAAAGGGGTGGCAGGGCTCCCACCCACAGGACTCGGCCATCAGCACCCCGCACGCTGCAACGCCTACACCGAACCGAGCTGGGGAGCCAGATCCCAGCCCTCCTTGGCAGCTTAGAGTACAGAATGCAGCCGGGCCATTCCGCCCGAGGAGGGAAACTCCTCACGGTGGCCTTCCAATACTTCCTTCCTGGCTGGTGGCTCCCTTCCGCAGGCTGGGCTCCTGCTGTAAAAGCTCCAGTGGGGAAGCGCTCTCCTCTTCCCTAGGAGAAGAGTTCAGGGCAGGCTCTTCATCCCCATTCAGTTTGCCTTTCTGTCCAGCCAGCCAGCCAGCCCGCGTTTGATAAGCAGAGGCTCTGGGCCAGGCACTGGGGAGGCGGGGAAACCACGGCCCACGTGGTGAGAGGGCCCAGCATGTGGCCTCGTGCCAGGGGTGGGGGGCAGTGAGCAACTGAACTGGAGGACTGTGGTGGTCTCACGATCTATTATGCAGAGAAATGCAGAGGGGTGGCCTACAGGTCTTGGCTGAAGGACCCTCCACCCTTCCGTGAGGGGCGCTGCCTGGAGGGGTTCATCTCAATGGCACTCTGGTGGGTTTCAAATGGCTGCATGAGCAGGGCGTGAAGTTCCATTTAAAACAGAACTTCCGTGGAGCAAGATGAGTAAAAATAGGAGCCTGAGAAAAAAATCACGATAGGAGCGGTCAGGTGCTGGGCAGCCACCACAGATTCTCCGGGGGACCCGCCTGTTAACCGGCGGCAGGGTCTGGGGTCAGGAGCAGCACCTGGCTGGGGTGAGAAGGGGGATTGGCACGTGGTGTGTGCTTAAGAGCGTGGGCTCTGGAGCCCGAGCCCCAGGGTTCAAATCACTTTCCCCCTATTCACTAGGGTGTGGTTTTGGGGCAAGTTCCAGAACTGCTATGTGCCTCGGTTTCCACACTATAAAGTGGTTGTAGCAGCTCCATGTTACAATAGATGTTACTGTGAAAATCACAGCGCCTGGGCCCACGGCTCACCTACAGGACTCTTGGCACCCACAGGTTCCTTGTTCCGAAACTGCACACAGGATGGCTGGTCAGAAACCTTCCCCAGGCCTAATCTGGCCTGTGGTGTTAACGTGAACGACTCTTCCCACGAGAAGCGGGTAAGCCTGTCAACCTCCACCCCACAAACCCGGGGACAGGAACCTGTGGGGTGAGGAGGCCCTGGGAGAGGACAGGGTGGCACAGGCCTGGGACAGTGGTCAGGATGTAAGGGCTGCCCCCTGTCCCCCCGCCTCCTACTCGCACAGGTGTCAGTGGGTCTGCCTCAGTGCCCTGGTCTATCAACCCGGAGATGAGGGTTAGGAGGACCCCAGGCACAGGTAGGAACTGTCACATACCACCACGAGACTGGAGGTGCTGTTTCATTCAACTGAAAGAGACACTAACATGGTGGCTAAATGCTCAGAGCCGGGCTGGTGCGTCTGAATTCCGACCTTGACCTTAGTGGGGCTGGGGAAGATTTAATCACAATGTGCCTCAGTTTCTTCATCTGGGAAATGGTGTTGATAATGCTGACAACGTAGGCTTGTCAAGAGAACTAAGTGAATTAATATATGTGCATGCTGAGATGGGTGCCTGGTCACAGTAAGTGCGCGGTAAATGTTTGCTTTTGGCTGGGTGTGGTGGCTTACACCTGTAGTCCCAGCACTTTGGGAGGATGAGGTGGGAGGATTGCCTGAGGCCAGGGCAACATAGTGGGGTGACATAGTGAGACCCTGTATCTACAAAAAATGTTTAAGAATTAACTAGGGCCGGGCGCAGTGGCTCAAGCCTGTAATCCCAGCACTTTGGGAGGCCGAGACGGGCGGATCACGAGGTCAGGAGATCGAGACCATCCTGGCTAACACGATGAAACCCTGTCTCTACTAAAAAATACAAAAAACTAGCTGGGCGAGGTGGCGGGCACCTGTAGTCCCAGCTACACGGGAGGCTGAGGCAGGAGAATGGTGTAAAAACCTGGGAGGCGGAGCTTGCAGTGAGCTGAGATCCGGCCATTGCACTCCAGCCCAGGCGACAGAGCAAGACTCCGTCTCAAAAAAAAAAAAAAAAAAAAGAATTAACTGAGCGTGGTGGTGCGTGCCTATAGTCCCAGCTACTCAGGAGGCTGAGGCAGGAGGGTCGCCTGAGCTGGGGAGTTCGAGGATGCAGTGAGCAGTGATTGTGTCGCTGCACTCTAACCTGGGCGGTGGGGGACAGAGTGAGACCCTGTCTCTTTAAAAAAAAAAAAAAAAATGTTTACAGCATTCGAAAGAGTCTCCTGGCTGATAAGCAAGGAGGGAGTCTGGCTGCAGAGCTACCCGAGCTGAGAGGATGCTGCCTTCAGCAATCGGCTGACCTTTTCTGGGGACCTCCAGAGTCTTCCTCTGAGGGTGGCCATCAGGGCCCTGTCTGGGCTCAGCTCACTCTGCATCACTGTCCTTTCCCAGGATGGCCCTGTCTCTCAAATCTCATACACACCATGCCATCCTGCCTGCCACCTGGGCCTTTGTCCCTGTTAGGGCCCCTTGCCTGGAGAGCACTTTCCTCCTCTCTTTTCCTTCCTGATTCTTATACATCCTTCGAGACTCCACTCGAGCCCATCAGTGCCAGCCCTTTCTTCCCCTCCCCACGGGAAGGGCTCCCTTAGAGCTCGCCGGTGGCCTCCAACTATTACCTACCATGTTACACTAAAATGATCAGCGTGTGCCACACGCCTCCACCTCCCTCACTACAATACACGCTCCTTAAAGGCATTCACTCACTCTGCTCACTGAGGACCTGCTGTGAGCCAGGGCTGGGTCTGGGCAAAATCATGGTGACAAATCAGAGTCTTGTTCGTTTCCAGGTCCCAGTGCCCAGCACAATGCTTGGCACCTATGGGGGCCCAGTAAATATTTGCTGTGCACTTAAACATCTACTGAGTGCCTTCCTGGCTGGTGGCTAGTATGAAATCCTCAAAATAACCCTGTACATTCATTGTTTTTCTCACTTTGCAGAAGAGGAAACTGAGGCTCAGGGATTAAGGAACATGCTTATAAAGTAGTGGAGGTAGGATTTAAACCGAGTCTAGCTCCCAAAGCGCCAGTGCTCCATCCTCTGTCTTCTGATGCCTCCCCATAAGGTGTGTGTCCCCCCAAGGAGTACATTCAGCAGGTCCCATTAGCTAAACTTCCTAGAAGGAATATGGGCAAGCTTCGCTTGTCCCTGGGAGGGTAAGGTGAGGTTATGGGAGAAGGCACGGGTGGAGAGTGGCAGAATTCAAGGAGAAAGGAGGAAGTTGGGTAGCAGAGCACACCTTCTTCTGCATTTTGCAAAGACCCCTCTCTCTATAGCGCATCAGCCTTGCTCTACGTGAAGAAGGACGAGCTCCAAGAGAGAGGATGCAGTTCCTCCTTTCCCAGGGCTTGTCATCCCGTTGGGAACATACATGAGGTCTTCAGATCTGGTCAGAGTGGGATGATTTAATAAGGAGATTCGACAAGGAGTGGGCACTTGTGGTCCTGGAGGGATGGTGAGTGGGCTCTGTCTTGCAGAGGAACAGTTCTATCATCGATTTATATGAAGAGACGGGACTTATTTGTATCAAATTTGTAAAATCCATAAAACTAAAAAGGAATGGTATCTTGATGGGTGGCGGGATGAAGGTTCGTAAGAAGGCTTTGTCCTGCAAATAGCACGCATTTCTAACTGGTTTAATAAGCACATGTGGCTTGCGTAACTGGAAATGCAGAGAATGGGCTTCAGGAGCAATCAGGTTGAGGGAGGTTGAGGCTGCAGTGAGCCATGATTGTGCTACTGTACTTCAGCCTGGGTGACAGAGTGAGACGCTGTCTCAAAAACAAACAAACAAACAAACAAAAAACTAAGGACCAAAGGTCACACGAAACCTCCAGGGAGCAAGGCTGTTTCTGGATGGCTGAGGCCTTATGGTTCCTGCCTTACAAGGCAGCAACGGGTCTACCTGAGAGGCGGGCTGGTCACCTGGCAGGCAATGGCCACAGCCGCAGGACAGTGCAGAATCTTCTGCCTGACCCCACCCTTGTCACCCTGTGCCTTTTCAGGCTCTTGCAGGCTGGTCTGGGCATCCCCAGGAGTGAGGCTGATGCCCTCCGCAATGCGGCTCATCTGTAGATGGCGAGATTATAGGTTAACACAGTGGTCCTCAATTTTTTGACATTTCACAGGTCTTTGATGTCCCAAAGCCCAGGAACCACTAATTCAAAGCAACCCACTGCCCTTCAAGGGTCTTCCTCTCATCCTTGAGAGGTGACTCCTGGCTCTCAGGAGAGCAGTTACATCAGTGAGGAACCCAGTGTCACATGGTAGCCTTCCCATCCAAGGCCACCTCCCGCTGTCAGAAAATTTTCAGTTGGCCGGGCGCGGTGGCTCAAGCCTGTAATCCCAGCACTTTGGGAGGCCGAGGTGGGTGGATCACGAGGTCAGGAGATCGAGACCATCCTGGCTAACACAGTGAAACCCCGTCTCTACTTAAAAAATACAAAAATAAATAAATAAATTTAAAAAAACCTAGCCGGGCGAGGTGGTGGGTGTCTGTAGTCCCAGCTACTGGGGAGGCTGAGGCAGGAGAATGGCGTAAACCCGGGAGGTGGAGCTTGCAGTGAACTGAGATCCGGCCACTGCACTCCAGCCTGGGCGACAGAGCCAGACTCTGTCTCAAAAAAAAAAAAAAAAGAAAAAAAGAAAATTTTCAGTCACCCCGAGTCAAAAATCTACCTCCTTTCTGGAAACTTCCCCCAACTGGAGCTCACACATGAGGGCCGGCCGGCCCTTCTTCTACATGTCATTCAATCTAACACTTTTCTCCTTTAAGTGTGTATTTTTCCCCTCCAGGTGTCATGGACCCAGTTTTTTCTTGTACTCTTCAGATGACACAATCACCCTCCTCCAGAAATACTTCAGTTTATTAATGTGACTCTTAAAATAACATGCCCAGCCTCTCCAAACCTTCCCATGTGGCCAGCTGCCCACAGCACTCCATCAGTGTAACTGAGAATAGAGCTAATTTTTGAGCTATTTCATGCCTCAGAATTCATACCATCTCAAACTGCTGACTCATTTTGAAGGAGGATGGTGGGGTGGGGACAAATTAAAATGACCATATACTGAGTGTTTCCTACATGCCAAGGCATTGTCTAGGTACTCTATCTGACACCGTATTTGTTCTTCCAACAAGTCTGCAAGGTAGATACTATTATTCCCATTTTGCAGATGAGGAATATGAAGCTCAAAGGAGTTAAATAATTTTCTCAAGGTCACACAGCTGGTGAGTCACAGTCCAGGTTTGGAACCCTTGTCTCCTGGCTCTGAAGCCTGTGTTCTTTCTCTACAGTACACTGCGTGACACCATGGAGCTTGGGCCTTTCTAACCTCAAGGTTATCTTCCCATGAAGACTGTCAGCCAGGTTTCCCCTATTTTATTCTTGTGCCTTCTTAAAACATTAATTACCCTTTTCTTTTGGTTATAAATAGCCCTTATCTACTGTAGAAAAAGTAGAAGTATAGAAAAATCATAAAAGAAAATAACAAGTCTATTTGCAAGCCTATAATACAAAGTTAACCACTGTTAACATCGACCATATCTCTTTACAATCTGGTTTCTCTGTACGTATGAGATTGAAACACATGGAATGGCTGATATTCAATTTTTTTACTTTCTTTATTTTTTGTGTTGATATTCAATCATTTTTGATCTACAAAAAAGGTAATTTCATATAGTTCTTTTTAAAATGTATTTTTTTTTTTTTTTTTTTTTGAGATGGAGTCTCGCTCTGTCGCCCAGGCTGGAGTGCAGTGGCCAGATCTCAGCTCACTGCAAGCTCCGCCTCCCGGATTTATGCCATTCTCCTGCCTCAGCCTCCCCAGTAGCCGGGACTACAGGCACCCGCCACCTCGCCCGGCTAGTTTTTTTGTATTTTTTTAGTAGAGACGGGGTTTCACCGTGTTAGCCAGGATGGTCTCGATCTCCTGACCTCGTGATCCGCCCATCTCGGCCTCCCAAAGTGCTGGGATTACAGGCTTAAGCCACCGCGCCTGGCCTAAAATGTTTTTTTTTTTTTAATTGTCAGCAGAATCCACTTTCATATAATTCAACCTAATATGTTTTTACATACAGCTGGAATCACATTGCACGTGTAAAGTTTGAATTCTGCCTTTTCATGTAATAATGTATCAGCATGTCCTGACTTATTTTAAACTCTTGGTAAACAACATTTTATTAGTGGTCTAGCATGAAATTCATTTGTATTTAAAATAATGGATTTAACTATTCTACTGTTCGACATTTGGGTTTTTTAAATCACTAATACTTTTGTGATAAACGTCTTCATGTATAAATACACTTTTAAATTTCTGATTATTTCTTAGAATCAATTCCTGGAGGAAGAAGGGAGGTCAAAGGGTCATATTTCAAAGGTTCTTGATACATATTTCTATATTATCTTCCAGAAAGATCGAACCAGTTTTTAGTCCCACTATACCCTCACCTGCAGAGAAAATTATTACTTTTAAATATTTGTTAGTTTGGTTGGTAAACATTGTTCTTTTAATTTTTATTCCCTTGATTCTTTTTGATACCACTTTATTTTTTGAACCTAAATGCAGATCTTTTAATTTTTTTTTTTTTTTTTGCAACAGAGTCTCACTTTGTCGCCCAGGCTGTAGCACAGTGGTGCAATGTCAGCTCACGGCAACCCCCGCTTCCTGGGTTCCAGCAAACCTCCTGCCTCAGCCTCCCAAGTAGCTGGGATTACAGGTGCACACCACCATGCCTGGATAATTTTTGTATTTTTGGTAGAGGCAGGGTTTCTCCATTTTGTCCAGGCTGGTCTCGAACTCTAACCTCAAGTGATCCACCCACTCTGGCCTCCTAAAGTGCTGGGATTACAGGTGTGAGCCACCACGCCTGGTCAGATCTTTTAATTTTCTGACCAATATTCCACTTAGATCATTTTGACTCAAAGATGAGCCAATAGTGTGAAATGGCTGCTGGATAAGTGAATGCCTGCTTGGCTGCATAGGCGCGCAATGTATAGATCAGGGGAGATGGGAGGTGATGGACCCCTTCTACCTCTTCCTGGTCAGAGAATGCTTCTGGAGCTTTTCAGCTATGTGGTTCTGGGGGTCTTATTGAAGAAGAACATTAACAAACTGGAGCATATTAATTTAACTAATGGTTGAAGGATTGTGGAAAGAGGTTGAAGACACAGGGAATATTTTTGTATGCATGTATGTATGTATGTATGTATGTATGTATTTACTTGAGATAGAGTCTTACTCTGTCACCCAGGCTGGAGTGCAGTGGCTGGATCACAGCTCACTGCAGCCTTGACCTCCCGGGCTGGAGTGATCCTCCTACTTCAGCCTCTGAGTGGCTGTGACCACATGTGTGCACTACTATGCCTGGCTATTTAAATTTTTTTGTAGAGACAGTGTTTCACAATGTGGCCCAGGCTGGTCTTGAACTCCTGAGCTCAAGCAATCCTTCCTCCTTAGACTCCCAAAGTGCTGGGATTACAGGTATGAGCCACCGCACCTGACCTGACACAGGGAGTATTTGACATAGAGAAAATGAACGAGTATTTGACATAGAGAAAATGAACGAGAAACAGATAGGCAGAACAGCTGTGTTAAAAAATGGCAGGCCTTCCTGTATGACCTTTGTAACTTTTCTCTATAAAACCGGCCTTATATAAAAGACAAATCCAGTTTAAGTGGCTCCAGAAGACACAAAATGGACCAATAGGTGGTGCAAGTAATTAATTTATTATTTATTTTTATTTTTATTTTTTTTGAGACAGAGTCTCGCTCTGTCGCCCAGGCTAGAGTGCAGTGGCCGAATCTCAGCTCACTGCAAGCTCCGCCTCCCGGGTTCACGCCATTCTCCTGCCTCAGCCTCCTGAGTAGCTGGGACTACAGGCGCCGGCCACCTCGCCCGGCTAGCTTTTTGTATGTTTTAGTAGAGACGGGGTTTCACCGTGTTCGCCAGGATGGTCTCGATCTCCTGACCTCGTGATCCGCCCGTCTCAGCCTCCCAAAGTGCTGGGATTACAGGTTTGAGCCACCGTGCCCGGCCAATTTAACTTCACATAAACAAAATCTAATATTGTGTGCTGTTTTACACCAAATAACTTTCTCAAAGGGCAGTGAGCACTTTGTCTCTAGAGGTATTCAAGCAAAGGCTTGAATTCAGAGAGTTGGTAAGGGGCCCTATACATAAGGTGGAAGTTTGAATTGGCATCAGATGATCCCTAAGGGCTTTTCCAGTGCCAAGATGTTACGGTGTTATGTGTCTGTGTATTGGCGTCCTGGGGGTATGGACAGAATAGCAGCGTTGGTGGGGTTCAAGCTGCCTGAAGCGGGTGCAGTGAGGCACAGAAGGGCAGAGCTAGCCAGGAGAGGGCCGGCGGGGCTGACACGTGCCTCTCTCTGCAGCACTCCTACCTGCTGAAGCTGAAAGTCATGTACACCGTGGGCTACAGCTCCTCCCTGGTCATGCTCCTGGTCGCCCTTGGCATCCTCTGTGCTTTCCGGTGAGAACACATTGCCAGCTCTCCATACCCCAGCCCTCCCCAGGCACAGACTTTGGGTCTCAGCCACCCAGGACAGAAAGAGGAAGGTCTGAGTAAACTACCTTGTCATCTCTTGATCTAAAGCTGACCTATGGCAAAACATCGATGTTCCTGTCACCTCATTGATCCCTTTATTTGTTCAACATTTACTAAGCACTACTGAGAATTTATGGCTGGTCGCTTTATATGTATTATTCTAATTTTCACACAATGCTATAGGATAGATAACAGGAACCCCATTTTACAGGAGTACTAGCGAGATTCTGTTGCAAGAGACAGAAATCCACCTCGAAACAGCGTAAGAAAAACAAAGGCGACCTGACCCACATAAGTGGCAAGTTCAGAGGCATCTGCTATAGGCATGGCTGGATCTAGGTGTTCAGCGGCATCAGCAGCACTAGGTCTGTCTCCCTCCATTCCTCTGCTCTAGGTTGGCCTCATCCTCTGGCAGTCTTTCTGCAGAAGTGGCAGAGACAACCACCAGTAGTTACTGGCATTCATACCGCTAGCTCAGCAACACCAGGGCCAACCAGAGCCTCTTCCCTCTTGGTTCCAGTAAAAGTCCTCCGAGTTCTCATAGGCCAGACTTAGGTCACATGCTCAATTCTGAGCCAATCACTATGGACAGCGGTGGAGCACTCTGATTGGTCAAGTCTGTCATGAGGGGTGAGAAGGGTGGAGCCTTTCCAATCCGGAGTGGAATGGGTTTCCCAGAAGAAAGCCTGTTTCCGGTCCCAGAAGAAGCAGAACAAGTAACTGACTTCTGTCCCCTGCAGCAGAGGAGGACGCTGAAACTCTGGGAAGTGGAAAGGCTTGCTCAAGGTCACAGAGCTGCTAAGTGGCAGAGCCAAGGTCTGCTTTCTTCCCGCAGCCTGTGTTCTTTCTGTGCCCCCAGCCCTCTCCCGTTCTGGTTGCCATCCTCACCCCTCCCGCAAAACAATTCTGGGAGCTGGAGATGGTGGTAGTTCAGGGCAGAATACAATGTTGCCCCTAGAGCCCCAGCTTTGTATTTATTCATTTAGAGACAAGGTCTTGCTCTGCTGCAGGGGCTGGAGTGCAGTGGCAATGATAGCTCACTGCAGCCTCGAACTCCTGGGCTCAAGCGATCCTCCTACCTCGGCCTCTTGTACAAGGAATACAGGCAGGCACTACCATGTCCAGCTAATTTAAAAAAAAATTTTTTTTTTTGTAGATACAGAGGTCTCAATATGTTGAACTCATGGCCTCAAGTGATCTTCCTGCCTTGGCCTCTCTAAGTACTGGGATTACAGGTGTGAGCCACACTGTGGCTGGCCTTTTTTTTTTTTCACTACAGCATGTAGCAAATTAGACTGGCCATCTGGGGACCCTCGTCCTCATTCAGGTTATGCTCACAGAATGTGTTACCCAGAAAGAGCTGAAGTCTAGGGCCTCAGTTTCCCCAGTGCACTAGAGGCAGGTGGGCCTGGCTGAGTCCCAGCCCCTCAGCGGACTCTGGCCTCTATGGCCCTACATTCTCTCCCTGCAGGAGGCTCCACTGCACCCGCAACTACATCCACATGCACCTGTTCGTGTCCTTCATCCTTCGCGCCCTGTCCAACTTCATCAAGGACGCTGTGCTCTTCTCCTCAGATGATATCGCCTACTGCGATGCCCACAGGGTAATATGCCTGGGTGCCCCGGGGTGTCGCCAGGCCTGCCTACCTTCCCCAGCCTAACTTTGGAGAGGGAAGTAGCCTAGTTATCCTTCCTCCAAGCCCCTGCTGAGGCTGCACTTAATACCAAGGATGAAGTGGCCAGTGCTGACGCTGGGCCAGGAGGTTCAGGGAGATTCCACAGCCACATGTGCACAATGTGGGTCACGTAGGAGAGAAGCTTGTGGGGGTTGCCGTAAACTCCCAGTGTCCAGGAGTGAACTAGCCACTCTAGGAATTAGGTATAGAGGGAGATGCCTCTTCTCCCTACTTCTGCCAGTTCCTAGCTGAAGAAAGATGACCCGGTCTGTAGAGGGTGGGGGTTGGTCATAAAAAGAAAAGAGTGAGCACGGGCCAGTATGTCTGTATAAACGCGTTTGCGATAAAACAGTTGTGTTTTCTTAAATCTAACCCCCTTTCTCCTTCCAAATGCCCAGATGACTCAATTCATTGCAATCACCCTGTGTGTCAATTGGGATTCCCTTTGCTGCAAATAACAGAAAACTATATATTGGAGTCTTGAACAAATGGGAACTGTTTCCTACAGAAACAGTCCACAGATGAGGTGGCGCAATGGCTGTGCGATGCCATGAGGGACACAGTCTTTTTCCCTGTTTCTGCACTGCCATCCTTAGAGTAGGCCTTTGATGTCATGCTTTACGTGGTAAAAGGTTAAACATTTTTTTTTCTTTTGGGCAGCTTTGCCTTTCTATTGAGAAAAGGTACCCTCCCCAGAAACTCCTATCCTGCATCTCATTGGCTAGAGTTGAGTCATGTAACCACACTTAATTGCAAAGGAAGCAGGGTGATTGAGTTTTTTACTGTCACAGTCTATTGGAGAGGCGAGCAAGGGAGAAAACAGATTGGAAATTGAGATTAGTTCAGCCAGCCTGCCTTCCATTTCCTACCACTCACCTGTTTGTATTGTTCATAGTTGTGTGTGTGTGTGTGTGTGTGTGTGTGTGTGTGTGTGTGTGTGTGTTTTCTGACTCAGACTGAGAGGTTCTTCAGGTAGGATCCATGTCTCTCAAGGAGGTCTCCAGGATGAAACAAGAGTACTTGCTGTGAGTCAGGAGCCTTAAATCCTAGCCACGCTTCATTACTGACCAGCAGTGGACAAGGCCAGCAACACCCCAGCAGGGAACCTTCTCAAGTTTTACTAAACATCAGACTCACAAGTCAACAATGGGCCTTGCCTGGAGTCAGAGCCTCTGGGAAGGCCATAAGGCAGGAACCACCACTGTCTCACAGGCAGCACTGGGTGCTCCTCCTTCTCGGGCTTGTCTTTGCGGCAGCCCTAGGGCTATCCCAGGAGCTGTCCCATCCTCAGGGGACAGCTCAATGCAAAGAAAAGGACAAAGGCCCTACCACGGCAGAGGTACAGGAGCTGTGCTGGTGTAGAAGCCTGGTGCCCCACAATTCTATCAGCATAACTTCCAGGGATCCCTGCAGGGGACATGCCTGTTAAAAGAGTCAGTCACTGCATCGGGGAAGTCCAACTCTATGACATTCCCATCAGATATGTGGAGAGTGCAATGTACCAGCCAGGGCCATTTTTGCCATAATCAGTGGTGCCTCCTAACAGAGTTGGCACATCCCATCATTATGTGTTTGCAAGGGAACTGAGCTTAGAAAACATTTTTTTTAACCCTTTGCTCAGAAATCTCTTCCCTTTCTAGGCCTTGGTTTCCTCATCTGAAAAAATGAGGGGATTGGGCAGTATCCGGCACAGTTTTGTGGTTGAAGGACTGTCTCCTCATCTAGCCTGGCAGCCAGTGCTAGCATTTGAACCTAGTTCCTGCTCCTGTGATGGCTCATTGGCCAGCTTGACTGAACCCACCAGGTCTGTGGACTCCCACTCTCTAGAGAATGCTGCAGGCCTGATGGAGGAAGGCCACAGAAGATGGCCTTGAACCCCAGAGGCCTGTTCTTGTGGCCTGGCTCCTGCCCCTACAACACCCTCTTGCTCTCTTTGGGGCCACTCACCAGAGGGAGCCCCACTGCCACCCGGCCTGGGCTCAGCTGCCTCTCTCTGTCCAGGCGGGCTGCAAGCTGGTCATGGTGCTGTTCCAGTACTGCATCATGGCCAACTACTCCTGGCTGCTGGTGGAAGGCCTCTACCTTCACACACTCCTCGCCATCTCCTTCTTCTCCGAAAGAAAGTACCTCCAGGGATTTGTGGCACTCGGATGGGGTATGTTTCTCCCTGGGTCTGGTACTTGCATGGTATGTGGGAAGGGGCGCTGAGTCGAGAGTCAGAGGGTTTGGCTACTAGTTCCAGCTCCACAATTAACTAACTTGTGAATCTTTTTTTTTTTTTTTTTTTTTTTTTTTTGAGTTGGAGTTTCGCTCTTGTTGCCCATGCTGAAGTGCAATGGTGTGATCTCGGCTTCATCTCCCGGGTTCAAGTGATTCTCCTACCTCAGCTTCCCAACTAGCTGGGATTACAGGCATGTGCCACCACACCCAGCTAATTTTGTATTTTTAATTGAGATAGGGTTTCACCATGTTGGTCAGGCTAGTCTTGAACTCCTGACCTCAGGTGATCCACCTGCCTCGGCCTCCCAAAGTGCTGGGATTACAGGCGTGAGCCACCGCGTGCAGCTAACTTGTGTAATCTTAGAGAATCTCCTTGATGTTTAACCCTCTGGTCTCAGTTTACTTATCTGTCAAGTGGGAAATCATAGCTCAAATTTAGCCCCAGTTTCTGGCATCTAGATCTTTTTACAGTTCGTTCCTACCCAATACTCGTTGCCTCATCTGCCTTCAGACGGTCCATTCCTACATCCTCTTTCTTGCTTCCTTTCTGTATTAGGATGCTTTTGACTGCTGGCATCAGAAAATCTGTCAAGCTTTAAACATAAACGAAATCAATTGGCTCATATAACTGAAAAGTCCAGGGATCACCAACTTCAGGAGAGGCCGAATCCAGCAGCTTAACACTGTTTCTTTCTGTCTCTACTTTGCCTTCTGTAACATCGGCTTTATAGTTAGGCTGCTGTTTCTAGTGGAATGGCCAGCAGCTTCTGGGCTAGAGACTTCCTTGAACCAAACTCCAGTGAGAGAAAGAAGAGACTCTGTCCAGCATTCACAGCAAATATTCTAAGGCGCACTCTGGTTGGACTGCTTAAATCTTATAGACACCCTTGAACTAGTCACAGAGGCCTGAGAGAATGAAATATGTTGATTGGCCTAAGCTACTGAAACCACGTGACTTCCCGAAGGAAACTCAGGATTCATCGTCTAGGAAAGAGGGGAAATGAGAGCGAGACAGCCAAGTGCAGGCCCCCATTCCATCTCTCTCCCTTTTCCTTTCCCGTCAATGAAGACGATAAACAACTTCCATTTTGAGGGCACTTGCTGTGTGCCAGGCCTTGGATTCAGCACTTTACATGTATCATTTAATCATCGCAGCGATCTCCAGGGGCCTCTCAGAGACCTCAGCTCAGAGACATAACATAACATACTCGACTCACACAGTAAACAAAGACAGACCTCAGGATTCAAGCCAACACTTGTCTGTTTCCAAAGCCCTGTAACTTTTACCCTGCCATTAACATCCATCTATCTATCCATCCATCCATCTGTCCATCCATCCATCCATCCACCCACCCATCCACCCATGCACACATCCACCCACCCTTCCATCCATTCCTGTATCCATTCATCCATTAGTTGTTCATTTGATAAACGTGAAAGTTACCCTAAGGAGTTCTAGACAGAGAGCCAGGTTCCTGTGAGTGACTCAGAGGCTTACAGAGATAGTCATGTACACCCGGCATTAGCTTCTTTTGGTTTCGTCCTGGTGCCTTTAAGAAGTGTCCCTGCCAGGAGTGCCTTCTGCTGCCTTTGCTGCTGGTCTAAATCCTTATTTGCAAGGGCCCTGTCTCCCCATCAGGGAAGCTGCCTGAGCTGGCAGAGCTTGCTGAACCCTCCTGCTTCTGAACCTTGGCAGCCCAATTAGCACCTGACCCTTGGCCAGCGGGAGGTTGCCGGGTTATGCCAGTGTCTCCAGAGGTCAGCAATCCCAGAGAGCCTGGGAACCAGGGACTTGCCTTATGCAGCTGACTCTGCCAAAAAAAAAGCACCCAACTCGCTGAGCCCAACTCACTAAGCTTTAAGTCCCAGATATGCCAGGATTCCGCTGTATGAACATGGACAGTTTCCCTATCTATAATACCAGGATCGTAATTTATTCAACATTCTTTGAGCATTCCCTGTGTTCAGAGATTATTACAAAGCTGCATTGTGATAACATCTCTGTCACAGGATTTTAAGATGTTTGAATGAAATAACAAGAACCTTCCTTTCTTCTTCAAATCTTTATGGAGCATCTACTATACGCCAGCCCTGCGCTGGGTGCTGAGAGTTGAGTAACATATAAAACAGCAGTGGTTCTCTTGCTCCTGTCCTGTTTGCCTGCGAGACACCAAAGGGGTCCCTGGAAGGCCTGAAGCCCCTCTATCTGTGAGAAGCTTTTTTCATGCGAAGGTAACGACCCCTGCTTGAAATTATACTGACTTCCCCAAAGATAGGTTGTTTAAATGGGTACACGCCTACTGTAAAACCTTGCAAAAAAAATTTTTTTTAAGTAGAAAAAAAAAATTACCCTAGTCCCACAGATTGAACTTTTTCTGAGATTTCCTCCCAACCTTTTTTTCTACTTGCAGTTTTTCCTCACATAGCTGTGGTCATTCTCTATGAAGAATTTTGAATTTCGCTTCTTCCCATTAACACATAAGCATGTTCTATATTATTTCAACTCTTTCATAAACATTTTAAACTACCATATAGATGGATAGATGTAATATAGATGCATTTAACCACATACCAACCGTTTGGACATTTAGGTTGTCCCATTATTATAAATAGCACAGTGATGAATACCTTTATGGGCAAAGCGTTTTCTGTATGTAAGACAGAATCCCAGGATATGGATTCCTGAGTGGAAAGGAGTGAGCACGTTTAAGGTTTTTAATACTTACGCAAAGCTTTGACTTTTTCAGAGCGGCTGAGGTCTGACTCTGTGCCCAGAAAAGAGTGATAGTGCAGGCTTTATAGATGAGCCAGGGCCGGGTGCGGTGGCTCACGCCTGTAATCCCAGCACTTTGGGAGGCCGAGATGGGTGGATCACGAGGTCAGGAGATCGAGACCATTCTGGCTAACACGGTGAAACCCTGTCTGTACTAAAAAAATACAAAAAAAAAAAAAACAAAAAAAAAACTAGCTGGGCGAGGTGGGCGCCTATACTCCGGAGGCTGAGGCAGGAGAATGGCATGAACCCGGGAGGCGGAGCTTGCAGTGAGCCGAAATCCGGCCACTGCACTCCAGCCTGGGCGACAGAGCGAGACTCCGTCTCAAAAAAAAAAAAAAAAAAAAAAAAAAAAAAAATTGGTGAGCCAGGCTGCCACTCAGTGACTGAGAGCATGGGTGAGGGTCTGCCAAACCCAGCTTGCTGCACTCGCTGCCCAGAGACTCTGAAGCAGTGGGTCTGGGGTGGCCAGAGACTGCATTTCTGACATTTTCCCAGGTGATGCTCATGCTGCTGGTCCGGGGGCCACACTGAGCCATCGACTTAAAGCATTACAAATTTTCCAAACATTCCCACCAACTTGGCACTAAGGATGGAAGATAATGAAGAAGTGCCTCTCAAAACCCATGTTCTTTGCCCAAAGCACCAAGAATTGAGGCAAGATTTTTTTTTTTTTTGTAAGATAGGGTCTCTCTTTGTCACCCAGGCTGGAGTGCAACTGCTCAATCATGGCTCACTGCAGCCTCAACCTCCTGGGCTCAAGTGATCCTTCTGCCTCAGCCTTCTGAGTAGCTGTGACTACACGTATGCACCACCGTACCTAGCTAATTTTTATTTACTTATTTTTATTTTTTGTAGAGACAGTGTCTCACTATGTTGCCCAGGCTGGTCTTGAACACCTGGCCTCAAGTGATCTTCCCGCCTCAGCCTCCCACAGTGCTAGGATTACAGGCATGAGCCACCACACCCAGCCCAAGGCATTTGTTTAATTGTTATTTTTATCAAAGTCACTCATGTAATTGGTTTAAATAATTAAACAAAAGACTACAAGGTTTATAATAAACAAAAGCTATCTCCTGCCTTCACTTTTTATTCCCGAGCTCAGCCTCCAGAGTTAATGCCCTTTCACCCTTTTAACTTGTTCCTCCTAAGATTGACTCTCGTGTTTCTAAACAATACACTACTATTTCTTGATTTGTCTGTTTGAAGCATTAGTTATTGACTCCTTATGGTGGAAGATAAGAATATAAAATTATTTTTTCTTTTCTGAGAGACTCTCACTCTCTTGCCCAAGCTGGAGTGCAGTGGTGCAATCATAGCCCACTACAACCTCAAGCTCCTGGGCTCAAGCGATCCTCCTGGCTCAGCCTCCCAAATAGCTAGGACTACAGGTGCATGCCACCACATCTGGCTGATTTTTTACATTTATTATAGAGACAGGGTCTTGCCATGTCTCCCAGACTGGTCTTGAACTCCTGGGCTCAAACGATCCTCCTGCATCAGCTTCCCAAAGTGCTGGGATTGTAGTTGTAAGCCATTGCACCCAACCAAGAATATAAAATTCTTAATCCTCTACCTCCATTCTTCCATTACAGTTTCTTATAATTTTTGGTTAAATCAGATTCAGTGTATACATTATCATATCTATGTAAATAGTGTTTACTACTGAGACAAGTGGTGTACAATAATTTTACTTTCAATCTTATTTAACTTTTTATTTTCCTGGAATCATTTTTCATTTGCTCTTTTTTAAATATATTGCTAGCATCAATTCTCTCAAATTCTCTGGACAACCTTCCAAAGCTATTTATTTTCCAAATCATCAGATGCAATAGGAAATCTATCAGTTCCTATTTATTTGTTTCCGCTATATTAGTTCCTAAGGCTATCTTAACAAATTGCCACAAACTTGGTGGCTTAAAACAACAGAAATTTACTGTCTCACAGTTCTGGAGGCCAGAAGTCTGAAATCAAAGGGTTGGCAGGGTTGGTTTCTTCTGGAGGCCCTGATAGAGAATCCGTCCCATATCTCTTTCCTACCTTCTGGTGGTGGCTGGCAATGCTTGGCATTCCTTGGCTTGTAGTTGCATCAGCCTCATTCCTGCTTATGTCTTTATATGGACTTCTTCCTCTGTGTCTTCTCTGTCTGTGTGTCTCTCATGGCCTTCTTATAAGGATGCCAGTCATATTGGAGTAGGGGCCCACCGTACTCCAGTATGACTTTATCCTAACCAATTACATCTGAAAATATTCTATTTTCAAGTAAGGTTATAGTCTGAGGTGCTGGGTTGACATGAATTTTGGGGAGACACTATTCAACCTGATATACTTGCCAGTGTTTTTTCTAGAGCTTTCTGCCTTCTTGCTTGACTTGGGCTGGCTGTTCTCCAGATTCACTCAGCTCCCTTAGCTTTCACCTTCTTCCACAAATCCTGTTTCCCTCCTTTCTCGTCTCCCTGTCTTTGGTTTACTCTCTAGTTGTGTTGGAGCACATCCTCCAGTATCTGTCTAACCAAGAGCACCTGGAAGGAATCTTTTTTAAATTGCACGTCTGAAGATATCTTTGTTCAACCTTCACACATAATTCATCATTTTGCTGGACATAAAACAAGTTGAAGGCCAGGCATGGTGGCTCACACATGTAATCCCAGCAATTTGGGAAGCCGAGGTGGGCAGATCACTTGAGGTCAGAAGTTCGAGACCAGCATGGCCAACCTGGTGAAACCCTGTTGCTACTAAAAATACAAAAATTAGCCAGGCGTGATGGTGGATGCCTGTAATCTCAGCTATTCAAGAGGCTGAGACAGGAGAATAGCTTGAACCCTGGTAGCAGAGGTTGCAGAGAGCTGAGACCACTGCAATCCAGCCTGGGCAAAACAGTGAGACTTCATCTCAAAAAAAGAAAAGTTGAACAATCATTTTCCCCAGAATTTTGAGGGTCTTTTGTTTTGGCATCAGCATTATTGGGAGTGCCATGCCATTTTGCTTCCTGAACTTTTTACTCCTTTCTACATTAACTGCAGGATCTTCTCTCGGTGTGCTGAAATGTCACAGGGATGTGCTGTGATGCAAGTCTTTTTTCATCTCTTTTCCTGGCATACGGTGTCCCTTTCATCTGAAAATTCATGTCTTTCATTTCTTGAAAATGTTCTTACATTATCTATTTAATTATTTCTTTCCTTCTGTTTTTTATCCTCTGTTTTCTGAAACTCCCTTTAGTCTAATGTTGTACATCCTGGAATAACCTCTAATGTTCGAATTTATTTTTCCTGCTTTTCATTCTGCTGTTGTTTTTTCTGCTGAGAGATTCCTAGTCTTTATCTTCCAACCCATCTATTGCATGTTGAGTTGTGGTTATCATATGTTCCATTCCTAAGCCCCCTTTCTTGTTTTCCGAGCACTCCCTGTTGACAGCATCCTGTTTGTGTCTTGTAGATGCGACCTTTTATCTCTCCATTTATCTCTCCTACGGAGTTCCTTAGAATTGTTTTGTTCAAGTTCCTTCTGCTTCCTGTATGGTCTGTTTCCTCTGAGTTCCTTTTCTCTGATTGTTTTGGTCTTTGTCTTTTATGTAATAAGATGTTGGTGACCTTGGCTGTCTGTTCCTATTTAAGGATGAATCACTTCAGAGCCGGCTAATGGCTGTCAGGGGTGTGGGGCTTGTCTCTCAAGGGACACTGGGCTGGAAGTGTTGGAGGGTCCCCCCATGGCTATCTATAGGCCTTTTGTCTGGGGCTGTTCAGTTCCTCTAGAGAATCCTTTCATCTCCAGCCTGCAGTGGCAGGGAGGCGGGCAGAGGGTAGAGGGTTGGGGTTGGCGTAGAAGCCTGTTCAGTAGAGGCCTGAAAACTGAGCGGCCCCGGACCTGAGGCTTTTACCATTCAGCTTGAGCATGTCCGTTAGAAATAGAATCTGATTTAAGTATTTCTGCTTAAAAAAAAAAACAGAATCTGAGCCATACATCTAGCTTAAAATTTTCTGGTAGCCACAATCAACACAGTAAAATGAAACAGGCGGTATTTGTGTCAATAATCTATTCCGCTTAACCCAATGCAACCAAAATAGTATCATTTCAATGTATAATCAATATAAAAATTGGTAATGACATATTTTACATTTTTTTTTTTTTAATTGAGACGGAGTTTCTCTCTCGTCACCCAGGCTGGAGTGCAGTGGTGCAATCTCGATTCACTGCAATCTCTGCCTCTGGGGTTCAAGCGATTCTCCCACCTCAGCCTCCCGAGTAGCTGGGATTACAGGCATGAGCCACCACGCCTGGCTAATTTTTGTCTTTTATTTTAATAGAGACGGGGTTTCACCCAGTTGGCCAGGCTGGTCTCGAACTCCTGACCTCAGGTGATCTGCCCCTCCTCGGCCTCCCAAAGTGCTGAGATTACAGGCATGAACCACTGCGTCTGGCCATATTTTACATTATTTTATTTGTACTAAGTCTTCAAAATCTGGTATCTATCTTGCACTTAGTGCACAACTCAGTAGGGACCAGCCGCATACCAGGTGCTCAAGCGCCACCTTGAGTGCTGGTGTAGACCATCACTCCATTCCTGCTCGGCTGAGCACCCCCTCCAGCCCTCTGCTGGGCTGCAGCCCTGTTCTCCTTGGCTCAGTTTTTGCAGAGAATAAACTCTATTGGAAGTTAACTATTCAGTCTCGTGAGGGTAGTGCTGGTCGCCTGGGGTGCTTATCTGTTTCTTATCCAGACTTCAAACCATTCTATTGCCCCAGCCCCACCCTGCCACCTGCCTCCTGGGTACCGAGTGCCCTGGCCCTAGAGCATCCTTGGGTACTTCTCTAGCAGCATTGCCCCAGACAACACTTCTGTTTCAGCTTCCTCTGCTCGGGACATCAGCTGCCACTCCTCTGCCAACCTTCTGTGTGCCTAAGCCTGTTGCCATCTCTCCTCTACTCTGCCCTTCCTTCTCAGTCTTTGTCCTTATAGGCTTTTACCGTTTCTATTTCTTTATTATCATTTTAGAGGGGCTACAGGGCAAGTAGGGATAAATGTATAAGTTCAGTTTGCCATGTTTAACTAGAAGTCAGGAAATGTTGTATTTTCTCTTCTAAATTCTTGTGGACTTGATCTCATCTCTAGTCCGAAATATATTTTTGTTTAAACATGACAGTGATGACTTACCTTAGCTGTTAAATGGCCAAGCTTTTTACAAGCCAATATTTGAATAAAATCAACGTTTCTTTCATGAGCTGCGTCTATCCCTTCTCCGCTTCCTCCTCCCCGCTGCACATGGCCAGGCAGATCGCAGTATGAGAAGGGGGATCTACCAGCTGCCTCCATGGGTCCACGAGCCTGCCCAGGAGTCCCAGCCCCTCTATACTTTGCAGTGGTCCTCTGGAGTCTGGCCCGGGTTACCAGGAGACCCCTAACACCAAGTGACCTTTGGGATCCTTTTGATTCTGCCGTAATCCCCAGGGCATGCCCGGCACCCTTGAGGCACACGGCGCCACATTTATGCAAGATGGCACAAGATGGCAGAGGGGTTTCTGTGGAAACCAAATCTTGGCACCTGCTCAGTAGCTGGGCCGGGGTAACCGATTGTCCTGTTCTCATATGTGTGTTTAAAATTGAGTCCTGTCTCCTCTGCCCCTCCCTTTTTTTTTAATCCTCAGGTTCTCCAGCCATTTTTGTTGCTTTGTGGGCTATTGCCAGACACCTTCTGGAGGACGTTGGGTAAGCTAATGGAAGGAGGATAACAAGAACGTCTCTGACGTCGTCCAGCTTTTCAAACAGCGTAGTTACTTCTTTGGAGCCATCTAGAAAAGGCCTTTTTCTCAAAATAGAAGCCACAGATGAGTTCCCTGGACTAATGCCCACTGCTTCCCAGGTGTGAGTTTCCAGGTGGGCTGAGCAGCCTTGGCCATGCCTGCACCATCCTGGCCGTCCTGTCTTCTTGCTGCCCGTCCACTCTGTGTGTGGGTCAGATGCCAGACAAGAGCTATGGGGCTCCAGGCAGGTGTTGCTCCGCGGAGGAAGCTCAAGGAAGGGCCAGCCCAGCTTTTTCTTCCGCCTAGGATCTCCCTCCTGGATGCCTCTCCACCCCTGGGTGTTTAGGAGCCCTGCAGAGCCAGGCTCTAAAGAAGTCAGGCATTGAGGGTGGCAGTGAGCCCAGGGGATGCACCTGGGAGTAGGTACATGGGAAGCAAGTGTGAAAGCAGCTGGGGAAGAGGAGAGGCAGCAGGGCAGCGGTGAGGCAGCGGGGCAGCGTGAGAGTTGATTTCTCAGGAGCATAATGACACAACCAGGCCAATAAGTGGATGAGGTCAAATGAGACATCCAAGTGTCTATAGTCCAAATTCAGCCCGAAATCATTGCTTCAAAGTAATTTTTGTATTGGGTGAACTCACTTTTTTTAAAGGTCTGGATTTTCAGTTCGTCTAGAAAAAAAATGGAGAGGTCCTTTAACATGTTCCATTTTTCCTCGTGGAAAAATGAGCTGGAGCAGAGCTGTGGCCGTCTGGGACAGGGTACATACTCCCCAGTTTGCTAAGTACTCTCCAGGCCTGATGTCCCTGCATCCTGAGGTCACATGTCAGCCATCCATCACTTCCCTTACTGATGTCATTTTCCTGGCCTCTGTCGGTAGCTGAGTTTGCCACCGTGCTCGCTGGGGAATTCTGACAGTGAGCTAACTTTTGGATCTGGGAGTCTCCCGGCTCTCAGGTTCTCGCAGGGAGACAGGTGGCCATTCCCTCAGCCCCAGCAGTGCTCCTGGGTGGCAGGAGGGGCGGGGTTCTAATGGTACTGGGCACACCACTGCAGGGGCTCAGTGCCACAAACATGGGTCCTTCATACCAAGGGCCACCTCAGGGAACATGTCCTTGCTGGTCAGCCCAGCTCCCACTCGTAACCATGCCCAGCTGTCCCTCCCTTAGGTGCTGGGACATCAATGCCAACGCATCCATCTGGTGGATCATTCGTGGGCCTGTGATCCTCTCCATCCTGGTGAGTGGCCCTCCTCTCCCGAACTGGGGATCAGTGGGAGAGACAGAAATGGTGACCAGCCCACAGGGGCAGAGGGCGGAGGGACAGGGCTCCCTGTAGGTGCCAGAAGGGATAAACCACAGTGTTTGTGATGTTGGTAAGCAGTGTGGGGTGTGGAAGCTCTGCCCCCTACAGAATGTCGGGGAGTGGGATGAGGGGTAGGCTGGAGGCAAGAGTCTGCGAACCTGGTTCTTTCCCACGAGCAGCAGCTCAAGTGTGGTGAGCAGAGCTCCTTGTTCTAAACGGGCTGGCTCCCATTGGCCTGAAATTCCACCTTCACTGGTTCAGACCTGTGGGCCTTGAGCATTTTTCTAGGGATTTGCTCGTTAACCTGGGATGAGTCGCTAAGCTGAGATCTGAACAGGGTGGGAGTGCAGATTGGGGAAGCTCAGTGGGGCCATGGTCTTGGGACTTTGCAATGCTGCGAGTGGGTTCAGGCCTGCAGGGGGCGGCCCAGGGAAGAGATGCTGGGTGGCCATCTTGGACAGGAGCTTGCGGGTGTCAATCCTGGTGCCCTTTCGAATCACCTGGGAGTTTTTTAAAAATACTGATAGCTAGTGATTCTATTTCTTTTTCTGGCAAGAGGCCTGGGTACTGGTCCCCAGGCGATTCTGCTGTGTACCAGGGTCGAGTCCTGTAGCCCAGCCCATGGGTATGGTTCAGCACGGGGACAGATGAGGGAAGGCACATGGCGACACATGGGAATCATCTCGTGGATGGAAGCAGTGCCTCGGCTGGAAATAACGACCACACGGACAGCTCAGGGATGCCCAAGGCTGCAGAACCAGTTGAAAGCAAATGCCCTGCCAGGCTCGCTGGCGTGGGGTAGGGGGAGAGGGCACAGGACAGGGCCCCTTCTCTTCCAGTAGCTGCCTGGGTAGCATCTTGGGATTGGTTGAGAGGAGGGGGCCATTCCATGACAACCTTCTTTTATAATTATATAATCTGAGCAAAAAATGCAAAATACAAAATGTTTGTTTTGGTTTTACTTTTTGAGACAAGGTCTCTGTTACCCAGGCTGGAGTACAGTGGCGCAATCATGACTCGCTGCAACCTCCACCTCCTGGGCTCAGGTGACCCTCCCACATCAGCCTCCAGAGTAGCTGGGACTACAGGCTCCCACCACCACACCCAGCTAATTTTTTGTAGAGATGAGCTTTCACTGTGTTGCCTAGGCTGGTCTTGAACTCCTGGACTCGAGTGATCTGCCTGCCTTAGCCTCCCAAAGTGCTGAGATTGCAGGCGTGAACCACTGTGCCGGGCACAGAATGTATTTTTTAAAAAGGAAAAAAATCATTCATCATTCTCCCAGCTACATATATGTTCTGACCATGTGTTTTTCTTCCTATCTTTTTCTTTGAGCAGACATACTTTTCTTTTTCAAAAGCCTTAATTAGGTTTTTGTTTGTTTGTTTTTCATTTAGCAATAGATGTGAGCTTTCCTGTTTCATGTGGAATTCCTTGAGAAACTGATTTGCCATGGCTTCATAATATTCATGCCGGATGCTGTTTCCTCATTTAGTTAAGCCAGCCCTGCTGTTATTCTGGGACTTGGACAGCCCAGTCCAGGACAACCCTGGATGAAGGACAGCCAGCTCCAGTGTCCGGGGCTGGTTTCAGAGGACTGTAGTTTATTCAGCAATTGAGGATGTTGGATGAGCACTCCTGATGCAAAGTATCTCCCTACCAACCTAGCATGGGGCCTGGAATTCCACTATTTCAAAATAGACTCATTCTTGGGACCTTAAAGATTTCTTTTCTTTTCTCTTCTTTCCTTCCTTCCTTCCTTCCTTCCTTCCTTCCTTCCTTCCTTCCTTCCTTCCTTCCTTCCTTCCTTCCTTCCTTTTCCTTCCTTCCTTCCTTTTCCTTCCTTCCTTCCTTCCTTCCTTCCTTCCTCCCTCTCTCCCTCCCTCCCTTCCTTCTCTTTCTTCCTTCCTTTCTTTTTTGCCTTCCAGTGCTCCCTATTAAATTAAATACAACTCTAAGGCAAACAAAATTAAACTAAATAGCCTCAATGAGCTGACAGCATGCATAGCCAGCTTACAACAAGTTGCAGAGAAGCAGGGTTCCCCGAAAAGCAGTGCTGGGCCAGGAGTCCTAGACGGCCACTAATCCTGTGTCTTTTGGCAAGTGTTCCCAGGCCCCAGGCTGCTTGTGTGGACAATGCGGGTGTGAGGCTGGGTGATTCCACTGATCCCTGTTTCTATAAAATGGAGCAGGTGGGTGAGGGAGGGAGAGATGCTACCACGTGGGCAACTTCCTAATGTTGTTGGCCCTGGGCACTGGGGTTGGGGGAGGGGACACCAAAATGAATAAAAAGACTGCGTTCCTGACCTTCAGGAACTGGCAGTTGAATTGGCAGATAAGTAGGCACATACATGTTTGACAGGCACATGCATTTGAGCTTTTAAGATATTTTTATCTCCCGATCATAGTTGGTAAGAAAAAAAAAAGATATTTTAAGTGCTCTTAAACAGTAATATTATCCCTAAATACAGTGAATCAGGAAAGGGAAGTAATCAAGGGTGGCTTCTTGAAGCTGGCGACTGAGCTGCAAACTGGTCCTCACACCAGCAGCTTCAGCATCACCTGGGAGCTTGTTAAAAATAATAATTCTTGGACCCCACGCCAGACTTACTGAACCATAGCCTATGGGGTTAGAGCCCAGCAATGGGTACCCTAAACTTTGAGAACCACTGCTGTAAAGTCAGTCAGCTTTGGCATTGTATTACCTGGGAGCTTGTTAGAATGCAGACTCTCAGGTCCACCCCAGACCTGCATTTTAACAGTATCCCCAGGGGCGTGCAAGGGTGAGTGATCTGCCCTGCAACTGAGCAGACCTTAGAGCCCCTGCAGCCCAGGGTAGGAGGGAGTCCTGCCTCCAGCCATGGACTCTAGACAGTTTCACCAGGACTGGGGATGGGAAGGGCGGGCAGCAGTGGTGAGCCATCCTGGCTGTGATGTCTGCAATGTCTTCTCTGCCCTCAGGTCCGGGTGACAGGGCCAGGAGAGGTGGCTGGAAAAGCAAGATACCTTCAGCTCCACCTCTGCCTTGTGTTTTGCAGATTAATTTCATCCTTTTTATAAACATTCTAAGAATCCTGATGAGAAAACTTAGAACCCAGGAAACAAGAGGAAATGAAGTCAGCCATTATAAGTAAGTGAAGGGCGAAGACTGAGGCATGGTCAGTCAGCAAGCATTTACTGAGCACCTACTATGTACTCAACTGGTGCTAGCTATTGGAGATGGAGGAAAAGTTGCAGACCTAGTCCTAAGAAGTTTACCAGGTGCATGGGGGCGGTTGGGGGGAATGGTCTGACTGTAGAGCTTCAGACACTGTATGGGGATGGAAACACTAAGAAATCTCAGGCAGGAAGCCCGAAGGCAGAGAGATCTTATCCTTAGGGCAAGGCTAGGGAGTCTCCACATGTGCATTAAAGACTGAAATTCACACAAATGTGTGTAGGAACAGTATGTGTATTTTTCAAAGGAGGATGACCTTCGGTTTCATCAGATTTTAGGGAAGTGTGTGATCCAAAAATACTTAAGACCTTTCAAATGTTAGAGAGAAATATGTTTGTTTTCTAGGGCTTCTATAACAAAATATCACAGACTAGGTGACTTAAACCGCAGATACGTATTTTCTCAGAGTTCTGGAGGCTGAAAGTCCAAGATCAAGGTGGCAACAGGTTTGGTTTCTTCTGAAGCCTCTCTCTTTGGCCTTTCTGGCTGTGTCCTCACAGGGCCTTTGCTCTGTGTGTGGGCATTCCTGATGTCCCTTTGTGTGTCCATGTTTCCTCTTCTAAGGACACCAGTTGATTGATTAGGCCCCACTCCACCCTCGTTTTAACTTAGCCTCCTCTTTCAAGACCTTTCTCCAAATGCAGTCACATTCTGAGGTACTGGGGGCTAAGACTTCAGTGTAAAAATTTGGCAGTGGGTGTGGACATAATTCAGCCCATAAATTATATTAAAGACAAATTAGTGGCCAGGCGCGGTGGCTCACACCTGTAATCTCAGCACTTTGGGAGGCCAAGGTGGGCAGATTACCTGAGGTCAGGAGTTCGAGACCAGCCTGGTCAAGATGGTGAAACCTCGTCTCTACTAAAAATAGAAAAATTAGACGGGCATGGTGGAGGGTGCCTGTAATCTCAGCTACTCAGGAGGCTGAGATAGGAGAATCGCTTGAATCCGGGAGGCAGAAGCTGCAGTGAGCCGAGATTGCGCCACTGCACTCCAGCCTGCGCAACACAGCAAGACTCTCGTCTCAAAATGAAGAAAAAAACAAAACAAAAACAGGACAAATTAGTGTCCCCCAGAGACCTTCTCCATGGTGTTTTGTGTTTGAGAATCTGGCAGTGGCTTGGATTACCTGGTGTCAGATTCCTGGAGGCCTGGGATGAAGTTGCCAGGTAAAATACAGGATGCCCAGTTACATTTGAATTATGGATAAACAACAAATCGTTTTTCAGTATTTATACCCCCACACGGTGTCCACTGTTTATCTGAAATTCAAGTTTAACTGGGGATTCTGTATTTTTATTTGCTAAGTTTGGCAACTCTAACCTGGGAAGCAAATACAAGAATTTATCCTTATAGATATTTATTATCTAGCAAATGAGAAACCTGGCTTTGCTTAGATGATGTTAGACATAGAGCAGCAGTGATATAGGCACGTAATTGATAAAGTTAATGGTGTAGGTACCGATTTTTTTTTTCTTTTTACGGATGGAGTTGCATGATCAGAAAGTTTGGGGCTTTTCCATGAGTCAAAAATTGTTGTATCTGAGTGATAGATACGTGGGAGTTAGAAATGTTCTAAATAAAAAATGAAAACAAAAAAGTGTGGGGCACTGCTTGCCAGCCTCAGCAGTCAGTCCCGAGCTGGGGAGTGGCACAGCTGTGTGCCCGCAGGAGGAGAAGGGCACAGGGAGGCAGAGTGGAGGCTGCAGTCTCTGTGTGTCCCCAGGCGCCTGGCCAGGTCTACTCTCTTGCTGATCCCCCTCTTTGGCATCCACTACATCGTCTTCGCCTTCTCCCCAGAGGACGCCATGGAGATGCAGCTGTTTTTTGAACTGGCCCTTGGCTCATTCCAGGTAAGCTTCCGGGACTGGGGCTGCCTGCCGAAAAGAGGAGTTCTCTGTGTGCTTAGGGAGAAGTGGAGGGCGTAGAGACAGCGAGCCAGATGCCTTATCTGGCGGAGACCCAGGGGAAGAAGGGGTCGGACCTGACAGTGCTACAGGTCCCCACCAGTCAAATGGAAGTGGGAGATAAAACTAAGAGAGACAGAGAAACTGACTTCAGGGAAAATAAAAAGGAAAAGTAGCCCCAGTACACTATATTGTACAACTCTCAACAGCATATGCATGGTCAAAATAACGTAACCGCGATGGCTGAGTCATCAAACACTGAGGCAGGAAGATGAGCCTTGCAAGAGTGCGGGGCGGGTGTTTGGAAGAGAACACTGTCGTCATCTTCACACTGGGAAGTCCGTAGAAAATTCCTTAGACTGAAAACTCCTCAAGTAGCGACATCAGCATAATTTCTAGGAGCAGTTAAGAGAGTTCCAAGGAGTAGTCGCATCTGAGGAACAGGAAGTGAGGGCAGGGTGTCAGGTGGCTGCTGGTTCCGTAACAGGAATCCTTTTGATTCTTTGAAACCACATGCATATGCAAATTATTAAAACTAAAAACTGACTTTAAAAAAGTGAGGTGGAAAATCACTTACCTACTAATTCAACAAGATGTTGTGAAGTTAAAAAACAACAACAACAGTATACGTGTTTGGACAGAGGGAGCCTGAACATGAATCCCAAACTTCACAATGCCGTTTGTTTATTTACTCATAGCTATTTCCTTCCAAAAATAATGCAGTGTCGCTTTTGGGAAAAACATACAAAGGACAAAAAATAAGCAGATGAAGGATCAGTGAGAAAAAGAATATACAACTGCCTGGGTTGCTACACAGAAACAAATATGATAAAGTTCTATACAGGAGGGAGAGATGGGTCGTAAGTGTGGTAGGGAGCTTCCCAGTAGCCAAAGCAAAGACGAAACCATTGTTTCAGGATTTCTCATATCCATAAGACAAAATCAAACTAATGGCCAGGAGAAGCCAGTGATTATAGGCTGTAGGGCCTGAGACAAAATTCTCCCAGTTGGTTTTTTTTTAAAGAACTTAGTCCTTAATAACATTTCCACAGTAGGGTGAGACTGTCCAGCCAAGCCTTCAGTGGAGTGGCCTCGGCCTGTGAGTAGGGGCTCAAACCCTCCCCTCATCCCCAGAGCTCTGTTCAGGGTAGGGTATTCCTGTTACTTAAAGGTTCTAGGGAGGATGCGTCACTGGGGACCCACCGAGTGGAGTCAGGTCTTGCCCTACCCACACCTTCAGACCACACCCTCCTCTAAGCTGGCTCTCTGCCCAGTAGCCCCTGTCAGGGCCCCAGACTTTCAGGGAACTCAGCCTCTGGCTTAATCCAGGATTCTTTTCCTCTCGGCCTTGGGGCTAGGGAGCTAGCTTTCCCCACCACTGCTCTTGTAACGTCCAGGGAGGCTGGGCAGACGATGGCCTATCTAGCAGGTAGAGGATCTGAGGACCAGTCGGGTGGAAGGACTTGACCTGGCTCAGAAAACGGACTATGCTGAGAGCTTGCACCTGGGTCTGCCTGGCCATGGATGGAGACTTCCTGTCCCTCAGAGTTGGGGCTAATGGTTGGGACTGTGGACTACCTCCCTGGGAAAATGTCTTGTCAAGAGAAAACCAAAAGCTCTTTTCTGATGTTCTTATAGGATTGTTGTTGAAGGAAAAGGATCTTTTAAAGTTTTATAAATATATATGTGTGTGTATATATATTCTTATATATACACACAAAAATGTCTTTCATATACGAAAGTGAAGACAGTAGGATAGTGAATCCCATTACCTATCCCCAGCCTCAGCAGTATCCACTCATGGCCTGTCTGGTTTCATCTCTGTCCCTACCTACTACCCCCATCTTTTTAAGTAAATTCAAAACATCATGTTATTTCATCTGCAAACACTTTAGTATGCATTTCTAAAAGGCGGGGCTTAAGAAGAACACATACAACTGTAATAACACCATCACTGTCACATACTCTTTAAAAGTACATTTACAGCCGGGCACGGTGGCTCACGCCTGTAATCCTAGCACTTTGGGAGGCTGAGGCGGGCGAATTGCCTGAGCCCAGGAGTTCGAGACCAGTCTGGTCAAGATGGTGAAACCCTGTCTCTACTAAAATACAAAAAATTAGCCAGGCATGGTGGCGTGTGCCTGTAGTCCCAGCTACTCGGGAGGCTGAAGCAGGAGAATCGCTTGAACCTGGGAGGTGGAGGTTGCAGTGAGCTGAGATCGTGCCATGGCACTCCAGCCTGGGTGACAGAGTGAGACTCTATCTCCAAAAAAAAAAAAAAAAAAATTTATTTACTCTTTCTGGTTGTACAAATAATGTTTGCTTATTGTGAATAATTTGGGAAATAAGGAAATTTTTTTTAAAAAAGAAAAATAAGAAAAAAAAATCTAGAATCTCATAACCCAGAAATAACCTCTGTTAAAATGTTGGTGTGTTTACTTCCGTCTCTTTTCTGTTCACAAAGACACACACACACATAATTGGGATCATGATGTGTATGGTTTTGTATCTTGCTTGTTTTGTTTAATTCTCTATCATGCCCATCACGAACATTTCTTCATGTCATTAAAATTCTTCAAAGTCTTCATTCTTAATGATTGCAGAATCACAGTGGAGATTAGTAAACTTGCTGGCTTGTGTGCGGTCTGCCCTATATACCCTGGAGCACAGCTAACTCCTTCCTCTGAACAGTGAAAATGTGTCCTTGCACCCCAGGGCAGCGGAGGCCAGGCAACCCTAGCCCACGCAATGGGCAGCACCGTCGGCCTGCTCGTGGCTCTGGGCCAAGCACACAGAGCTCCAGGCATGCCTAAACCCCTCCGTGCCTCAGTTCCCTCACGTGTAAGGTGAAGATCCTCTCACCTGCCTCCAAGGGCTTTGGTGAAATTAAATGAAGCACCTGGGACCTACAATTACTCAGGCCTAGCTGTGCTCCGATCCAGGTCTGTTTTATTTCACAGCCTGCCTTGAAATGCTTTTCACTGCCTCTCTGACAGTAGTTCCCAGACCATGATGCCTGTTTGTTGGAACTGTCTGGGGATCTTTAAAAGCTGCTGATGCCCCCAGCTACTGGGATCTGGGGAGTGCAGCATGGACAAATGGTCCCAGGTGATTCTAATGTGCAGCAAAACTTGGAAACCAATGCCCTGAGTGTTTCTGCCCCTCAAATAGTCCCCAGTCTATGTGGCAGTCATTGATACCTGAAATTCTAAAGCAAACCCTTCCAGCTTTGCCTCTAACTCTTTTTAAAATGCCAATATCCCTGAGAAGTTGTACATGTTAAGCCCACCATCGATGAGCTGATTCTGCACCCTTTGAGGTCCTTTCCAATCTCGTAAGTAGCTACAGGCAGGCCTGGGTGGACTAGGGAGGAGGAGTTGGGCCATCTGAGGTCAGGCCTCTGTGTGGGGAGGGCAGGCCCGTAAGGGAGAGAAGGGTGGCCTGAGGTGGGTCCCTGAGAAAGGAGAGGAGCAGGGCGAATACACCGCAGCGACACTGCTTCCTGCTCACCTGTAGGCCTCTTAGGCTCCAAGCAGGCACCCCAGCCTGCTTGGAGTCCCTCCCCTGACAGAGCTCCACACCGGGATCCTGGGGGCACCATCAGGAAATCGCGAGCTCCAAATACCAGGGAGGGAGGATCTTACAGGCATAGACCTCACCACACCAGGAAACATAAAACTCTGAGCATGGAGGTGCAGCCACCTGTCCATTAAGCAGGGAGGTCCAACCCTGCTCACCGCTGGCTGGCTGGGGCCTGTACATAGTTTGTTCTGCCTACACATTTGTTTTTCAATTTGAATTAGTTATCTACATTTAAACATATTCAAATTTCCAGCTTATCTTGAAACAAGACCATGCACGGCCCAGGGTGCAACCCTGGGCCGCCTACACCCCTCCCAGCAGAGTGGGCACACTTCAGGTGCCGCCCATCCCTGTGGCTCCCAGGTGAACTTCCTGAGCCCGGCTGACTGGGTTAGCAGCCCCTACTGACCTGTCCCTGATACCACATGTGTTCGAAAGGGAGCCTACCCTTGGCTGCAAGGAGTTCACAGTTTACGCTGGGTGAGCCAGCACAGCCAGGGGCACCGTGGGCAGCCCACAAGAGGTAGCCTAATTCCCAGTGAGGCAAGAGAGGTGGGGAAATGAGCCTGTAGCTGGTGATTAAGAGACCTGGGGAGGGTGCAGCTGGTCAGCTGGTTCAGGTCACATGCTGAGCACCTGAGCTAACCCTGCTGCCTGTGTTCGTCTGGCAGGGACTGGTGGTGGCCGTCCTCTACTGCTTCCTCAACGGGGAGGTGAGTAGTCTCGGGTCACCCAGGTACCCAGGAGAGCTCCTAGCCATTGGATTCCGGGTCAGGAGCTACCCGGGAGGGGTGGTAGGAAGGGGGATGGAAAGAGTCAGAGGGAGTCCTGGGTATGGTGGCAGGGAGCTTGGCCAGTTCTTTTACAAGTCTTAACGGGAGCAACAGAATCACCTGGAGGGCTTGTTAAAACCATGGCTGGACCCTGTTCCTAGTTTCTCATTCCACAGAAATAAATTCTATAGGTCTGGGCTGGAGTCTGAGAAAATGTTTTTTAACAAGCACTCCTGGTGCCGACGTTGATCTGTTCAGCAAATGCAGGAGGAAAGTTCGGCAGAACCCAGGTTCCTGACTGCCCTGCTGCTTGCTCAATGGGCGATCTCAGTCACTGCCATGCTCTGGGCCTCAGTCTGCCCATATGTAAAATGGGTGACTCAGAACTGTCTGCAGCTTAATCCTTAGGGACCTCCAGATGAGCAGTGACTCCTTGGGAGACTGCATACTCACTTTGAGGACTCGAGCCTCACACAGAGCATTTGGGTCAGGACGCCAGGCTCTGGGCATACAGAGCTATGTAGTCAACATGAGCTAAGCCTTTCTGTGACTACTGACCATCTATCTGGTTTGTTGCACTTGAATGGGAATGACCTGTGATGTTTCCCAAAAATCAAACATCAAGCCTAGCTTCAAACGTTCAGCTGCTGCAGCTGGCACTTGTGAAGGAAATTTAGAGTAACTCCCTGGGTCCCAGGTAAGTTCTGAGCTTGGGTGGCTTCATGGGAATAAGTATCCACTTGTTCCAAGGTGCACAAGTCCTTTCTTCAGGACACAATGTAATGAGATTGTGGGTGCATGTGCCCAGGAGAGAGGTGACCCTCAGTAACTACTGGACATTGGGGCTGGAAACAGTCAATCTGCGTGGCCTGCAGGCTAGGGGACAGGACAGCTGGGCAGGAGCGGCTGTCCTGCCACTGCGTGGAGTCCCCGGGGGCGTGAGCAGGGATCCAGGCACAGAACTGTCCTCTCCTCCTGGGCTGATGGCTGGTCTCCCGGGCAGGTGCAGCTGGAGGTTCAGAAGAAGTGGCAGCAGTGGCACCTCCGTGAGCTCCCACTGCACCCCATGGCCCTCAGCTCCTCCTTCAGCAACAGCACTAAGGCCAGCCACTTGGAGCAGAGCCAGGGCACCTGCAGGACCAGCATCATCTGAGAGGCTGGAGCAGGGCCACCTACGGACAGAGACCAAGACAGGTCCTGAGACGGCTGGGCACTGCTGCGGGAGAGCGCGTCTTCCCAGCAGACACCCTATAATATACCCTGCTTCAGCTGTAGAAGCCCCTTCCCAGGTCTTGGACTCTTCCAAAGGGATGTGGGGCACTGTGGGGCAGGATAAGGGCCTGGGATTTGGTTTCTGGGAAGAGTTCAGGGGTCCCAGAAAGGGACAAGGAAATAAAGGGTGCCTGGGATGAGATTTGATCTGTATTTGTCCATCCTTTTGCCTTGACACAAGGTGAGGGTGTATGCTCTGGCCTGCTCCCAACCCCTTCCTGCAGGAGGAGGGCTCCTCGCTGGTCCCCCAGCTCAGTTACTCAGGAACAAGATTAGAAGGCCCAGTCAACACGAAATGTTTGCCCTCAGCAGATTCTGTCTGTCTCCTACTGTAACTCACCTGGTTAGTAGCTCTCACCCAAACCTTCAGGACAACAGCTAAAATAATAGGATGAAGTCACCATGGAGGCCACGGAAGCCCCAGGGCCCCCAGTCCCTTTTACTATCCCCAACAGGGTGTGAGGGGCACACCCCTGTTTTTCCTGCTCTTTCACACAGATGTCCTCAGCCTGAGGCAGACACAGCAGGAAATGGGGCATGATCGCATTTCATAGAAGACAGGTCCACTAAAGCCCTATGACTTGCCCAAGCTACTAAGCAAAGAGATGGCGGAAGTTCAGTGCAGGGCCTTTGACTTCAAATGCCCATGCTCCGAGGCTGTGTCTGTGCTCTCCCTGCTGCCCCTCCAAGCTCCTGGGGACTTCAGTCTCACCCTCCACTCTTGCTCTCGGTTCCTTTGAATATCTGCGCTCCCTGCCCCCATGTGAGGATGAAAAAGGACTCAATTTTTGAATGCTTCTACAAAACCAAACCTACTAGTGCTCAGGGGGTAGCGTTCTGGAGAGAAGTAGAGAAACTCCCCTCCGTGTCAAGGAAAAGGCATCCTGCTGGTGGGTGGGTCAGCTCTACTCCTGGCTTTGGGTGACGCTGGACAAGTGCATCCCTCTCTGGGCCCTGACTCCCCACCGCCATACATCCCCTCCCCGTGAAGAGACAAGGGGGTTACGCATCCCCTTTGAAACTTGTAGATTGCTCCAGGTTCCCATTTCCCAGGCTAAGATGCCGCCTGTGTGGTTGGTGAGCTCCGTACTCCATAAAACCGATCAATTCATGGAAACCTTTCTGGGATGATCTCCGTGGACTCTGGGCATCTTGGTAGTTCAACCTTAAAGTCCATGGCCTTACATCCTACAAAGCAGACTGCCTCATGACTCCATGCATCCTGGGATAAGAATTTTAAAACATCACAATAGAGGTAGGTACAGGTGCTCAGCCCAGACCAGGAAAGGAACCTGGAGCAGTGACAAGAGCGGGACAGAGACCAAAAACCCATGCAATTGCTGGGAGCCAGAATTCACCAGGTGAGGGAGGGGCAAGGAGTCTGTGTAGAAAGAAATGGGCTGAGGGCAATAACCTCACCTACTTCAATATCCTCACCTACTTCTGGGCAGAAAAAGGACTAGAAAGGGAGCACTTTCATGAACAGAAGTAAAGATGTGCTGGCAAGGATGGAAATCTCCACTGGTTCCTGGCCCCCTTCACCTCCATGCATCCCCAGCATGGGTGCTAATCATTACCCAGGCTCTCACTGCTCCCCCTCACCTCCTGTGGAGTCCAGCAGATCTAGATACCTGCTCTGTGAAATGTGTTCTGGGATTACAAATGGTGCCCTAAGGCTGTCTGACCCTCACAGAAGACAGACACGTGCACACACGGGCCTTGAGGAGGGCTGTGTATTAGCAGTCAGGTGGGTCCTCCTGGGAGGGCTTGCTCAAGAACTCTTCTCAGAAAGAAACCCACCTTAAGGTAAGGTTCTGATAGGCAGAGCTCCTAGAAGGGACAGCCAGCTGCTAGAAGCTGGGGTTATCCAGGGTTTGTAAGGTTCAAACAAAGGGCAGGGAGGCAAACCGAGTCAAATGGTTTGAAAACCTACAGTGTGCAGGGCATTTTGGGGGAATCCTGAACTCTGCCTCTTTGGCACTGACCACCAAAGCTAAAGCCAGGGACACACATACAAAGGCCCTTTGAGCTGGTGGAAGACAGTCCTAGGCACTGATTGGACCCTTCGCTGGAAGAACGATCCATTCTTAATGACCCTGGGAGCCCCAGGGACTCTGCAGCCCCTATCCCAGCACGTGTCAATGAAACAGGCGTGAACTATCCTTGGCTGTGCAGCTAGCTCAGGCACCAGTTACGCCGCTGCTTCCAACTCTGTTCCAGTCCAGGGAATTAAATTCAAGAAGGAGTTTTTAAATGTTTTTTTCTTCTTCTAAAATCAGCATCTGGCTAGGTCTGTGCAGCTGGTGGCCCTGAGGCGCCCTCCTGGCCTCTGGCCCTGCGCATCAGCTGCAGAGGTCCCCCGGCCATTTCTGGCTGATCACCCACAAGTCACTGGCAAAGAGGCAGCCATTTCAAGGTCCTTGTCCCACCTCAGCCCCACCAGAGGCCACCTGTTAGAAAAGTCCCATCCTGACCACACTTTCTTGTAGAATCTGATGTCCCTGGAGGGGGCTAAAATTTCCATGGTCGTTCCCAGGGATGGGTGATGCTGTTGATGTGAAGGCCGCTGATGGCGTTCAGGAAGAAGAGGAAGGAGGCAGTGAATTCGCACCAAAACATCAGGGTGAAGCCGATGAGTGTGACTTGGTTCCTGAGGAGGATCACAAAACCCAGGAGTCCCCCGGAGGAGAGGACGAAAGAGACCAGGAGGAGGATGGAACCCAGGACCCACTTGCGCCGTGAGTGTTTGTCCTCGCACACCTGGGACACCATGAGGAGCTCCAGGCCAAAAATGGCGGCCACCACGGCCAAGGCGCCCACGCTGCGCACCAGGCCCATGCCCACAGCCAACCCGGGCACGTGGGCCTGGCCCAGGTCTCTGAAGCACATGGGTGCACTCAGATTGGTGGTGATGCAGAAGTGCCAGAGCCCGAAGACGCGGTCCTCAGCCAGAAGCCAGTGCCCGTCACAAATGGAGACCGAGGACAGGACCACAGTCAGGGCCACACACGTGATGATGAGGGTCCGGATGAAGGATTCAAAGAAGGACCGGCGGGGCTGCCTTTGGCCCAAAGGCCTCCGGGCCTGGAAAATACCATAGGAAGCACCCTGTCAGCCACAGCCCTGCCATGCCCCCAGGAACCTCTGCAGGGAACACCCCTGCGCCCTCCTTCCCGCTTCCCACAGTCTTATTCTCTGCTCCGGTCTCCTGTGAAGCCCGGAACAGACCAGACCCACCATTTTTGGGGAACCCTTCCACCCTTCTAGACCTGTGAGCATTTGCCATCCAGTATTCACCAGGCACTAAGAGTTCCCTGAGCTTGCTTTCTTTCGTGATCTTAGAGTGGGTGAGAAGTCCAAACCGACCGACAAATCTGAGTCAGTTCTGAGTTCAGAAAACCTGTCGTGCCTGCCTCCCATGACCTTGAGCATGCAGCCTGCCTCGGTTTCTTTGTATGAAAAACAAGAATACGGCCTGGCAGAGCTGCCAGGGTTGTACCAAGCACTGAGACATTAGCACATCAATACACGGTTCTGTTTCCCTCCATCTGCCCAGGACACACGATTTTGTCCTAACTTCCACCCACCTGATCATTCTGAGCTGTCCACGTGCAGCCCTGGACTCTAGGCTATCGCCTTGTTTTTCTTGGTACTGAAAGTGATGCTTGCACCTTGCCCTCAGACTTGTGCGGCCCGTACCCTATCCAGAGCTTGCCAACCCCATTGTCTGTTCCTGCAGCGTCTGGGCATGGGAAGGCCATTGCAGCTCTCCTCCGCTTCCGGTTCAGCCCTGGAAGGAGGTGCCCCCACCCCGGTCTCCTGGCAAGCCAGGCTAGGTGTCCAGTGAGGTGTCTCATCTCACAGTTCAAGGTTACCACCCGGGCACTGCACCCAAGCCCTGACCCAGAAAGCAAATGAAAGACTTCAGGAACTCTTTACACTGCCCACAAGCCCCTCACAATCCGCTCCGCCTCCCCACCCAACCTCAACTCCCTGCACACTCCCCTCTCCCCATGTCTAGAACTTTCTTTCCTCAGATGACTGGCTCTTCAGCCTGTAGAGGCTCTTCCGCAGCTCCTGCCACCCCGCCAGGGCAACACCTCTTCTCCATTCTTCATGTCTCAGCTTAAAGTCTACTCCACTGGGAGCGCTTTCCTGCCCCCTCGACCCAGAGACAGGGCCCTCCTGGTATTTCTGTGTCAGGCACCTGTTCAAATTCTTCACCATTCTGAGGACAGTTTGTAGTTACATATTATTTCTGTCTCATTCCAACACTATGTGCTCTGGGAAGGCAGCCCCCAACCACCACAACACCACATTCTGTGTTTATGCACTGCGGTGTCCCCAATACCTGGGCATTCAGTGGGTGCTCAAGGGAGAGCTGTGAGATAAGTCAAAGGTCGTTTGCAACCACTGTCACTTCCGTCTGAAGCTCCCTTTAAACCGAGTCTCCTGCACAGTCATACATTAAATGACCTGCTTTGAAGTGTGTTTAGAAGCTGCCAGGTTGGCCAGGTGCGGTGGCTCACGCCTGTAATCCCAGCACTTTGGGAGGCCGAGGCGGGCGGATCACGAGGTCAGGAGATGGAGACCATCCTGGCTAACACGGTGAAACCCTGTCTCTACTAAAAATACAAAAATTTAGCTGGGCGTGGTGGCAGGCGCCTGCAGTCCCAGCAACTCAGGAGGCTGAGGCAGGAGAATGGCATGAACCCGGGAGGCGGAGCTTGCAGTGAGCCGAGATCGCGCCACTGCACTCCAGCCTGGGCGACAGAGTGAGACTCCGTCTCAAAAAAAAAAAAAAAAAAAAAAAAAAAGAAGCTGCCAGGTTACACCTCGATTTGGGAGGTAGGCAAAACAGGCACG